ACAGAGTACACACGCAGATTACACACACTGTACACACACAGAGTACACATGCAGAGTATACACACAGAGTACACACACAGAGTACACACGCAGAGTATACACACAGAGTACACACGCAGAGTACATACACAGAGTACACACACCGTACATACACAGAGTACACACACACACACCGTACACACACAGAGTACACACACAGAGTACACACACACCGTACACACACAGAGTACACACGCAGAGTACACACACCATACACACACAGAGTACACACACAGAGTACACACACCGTACACACACCGTACACACACAGAGTACACACGCGCACAGTACACACACAGAGTACACACGCACACAGTACACACACAGAGTACACACACACCGTACACACACAGAGTACACACAATACACACACAGAGTACACACACACAGTACACACACAGAGTACACACACAGAGTACACACACCGTACACACACAGAGTACACACGCACACCGTACACACACAGAGTACACACACAGAGTACACACACACCGTACACACGCACACAGTACACACACACACCGTACACACACAAAGTACACACGCAGAGTACACACACCGTACACACACAGAGTACACACGCAGAGTATACACACAGAGTACACACACAGAGTACACACGCACACAGTACACACGCAGAGTACACACACCGTACACACACAGAGTACACACGCAGAGTACACACGCAGAGTACACACACCGTACACACACAGAGTACATACGCACAGTACACACACACCGTACACACACAGAGTACACACACCGTACACACACAGAGTACACACGCAGAGTACACACACAGAGTACACACGCAGAGTACACACGCATAGTACACACACAGAGTACACACACCGTACATACAGAGTACACACACAGAGTACACACACCGTACATACAGAGTACACACACACACCGTACACACACAGAGTACACGCACACAGTACAGACACAGAGTACACACACAGAGTACACACGCAGAGTACACGCGCACACAGTATCACTAACAATGTTGCCCCACGTCCGACCGCATAGCCGCATGAAGAGTGAATTCAAACGGCATCGTATCGCGAATTTTGGGGAGAAATCGGTGAGCCCGCTTGTGTGCTAAATAGCACAGACGGAATCCGCGTAAAGCGAGGGAACGCCTGTATATTTTATTGTTTCGGCCACGGTGTTGTTGACGAGTGTGTTGCGATGTTGTGTTGTTGATTGCAACGAGCGTCCAGACGCAGCAGCAACATCAGCATCATCACCACGCGATATGGTCACTGCTGATGATGATGGTTATGGGCTCCCACGCGCCATGCCATGCTGGTTCAGTCCCGGTTGGTGACGATGGGAAGCAAGGAATCAATTTTTTTTATTTATCCCGGAGAAATCCCGATGAGCTATGAAGCTCTTTTTCACAGATGTCCAGTAAGGGGCGGGACATACAGTTACAACAACACGATACAAGTGAAGAGTATAGGTAAGTTAAGCAAATCACTAAAACTATATACGTAAAATAAAGTATATATATAGGTTCAGGTTGCATAAGTGCACCGATTCCTAAGCTTGGGCTAGGCAGAAAAACAGCCCCATACCACACCGAGACAACAACACACAGTCGCTCAATAAAATAGCACATTTAAATTGAACCATCACGGGACCTCTTTTGCCAGTATCAAAATATGAGAATAGGTTTTCCCCTTTTTCCTGACAACAAAACAGCTGTGTTAAGATGTTAAAACACCGAACTGAAACCTTTTACAAGGAATCATGTCTGCATTAACCACAATACTTGTGGTCAGAATGCAAAAAACAAAACATACTCTGCTAATATATGCATTGTCTTTGAAACGGATTGGTCCACACCAGAGACAGCTTTCTTTGGAGCCTCGTCTCAAAAGGTGTTAGACCAGAGGACGCCAAAAGACACCTTTTAGCGTCCGCTGAGACGCGGCTACAAAGAAATCTGTCTCTGGTGTGGACCAATCAGTTTCAAAGACAATGCATATATTATCAGAGTATGTTTTTTTGTTTGCATTCTGATCACAAGTTTTGTGGTTAAAGTAGACATGATTCCTTGTAAAAGGTTTCAGTTTGGCGTCTTAACATCTTAACACCTGTTTTGTTGCCAGAAAAAAGTGGAAAACCTATTCTCAAATTGAACCATGTTAAAGAAGACTCTGGGCCTCGCTTTGTCCACGACGTCAGTCTTTATTTCCACTGCACAGGCCCGTAAAGTCTTCACTCGCTCTCTCTCTCCCGCACCGCCCCGAGCTCCGCCTCCCACTCTCTCTTTTAACCTCTTCCTGACTGCGCCAATCCTCAACCTCTTTCCTCTCTCCTGACCCCCCTCCCCCCTTCTCTCACTCGCCCACATCTGTCAACTCACACGGTTTATAACCCCGTGTCCATGTACAGGGAAATTGAGTTTTCAGGTCCATACGGCGTACATCCATTATAATACGGGCAACATTGTTTTTTTTGCCTATTTGTGTTTCTCCCTTGTGATGGGACTTTGTAGGATGAACGTTGAGATTTATAACGGCACGGGGTGGCCAATAAGGTCTGAATTGGTCCGTATTAAGGTAGGGGCACGGTATGCTCACTCGACTTTCCCTTTTTGAACGTCCCCAGCCAATACCCCTTGCACCCCGTGCCCTCTTCAATCAGAGCGTGACGTTTTTGCTCCACCCCGCTTGATTGCCAGGCGCTTCTCGGTCTTCACGCGAGTAAGCGGCGCCCTCTTCCCCAGTCCCAGCAGGGATCGTGTGGCAGCGATGAAAGTTACAGATCGCAGAGACGAATACCGTGCAGTGCATCACAACGGTGGATTCCTCACACGTTGCACCGGCAGCCGATAGCAACCTGGGTGGCCCGATTGTCAATCCACTGCTGGATGAGGCTCTCCCTCCCAACGCAACTCTCTGCAACGATTGCGTCTGTTGAACGCAAATTTCTGGTCGTCTATCCGAGCGCCATCCAGGCTCAAGACCTCCTGCTGCGCTTTGGAGATCGTGCCCGGAGTTGGCACATTCCGGGTGATTCGGTCGAAGGCAAGCAACGCTGTGGCCAAGGCTCCGTTCAACAACGCACTGAGCATGATTCAGCCGAACGTGGTGCCTCACTAGCACGGACAGCCCACGGGGGGGAACCCTCACATTGCTTTCAAAGCAGCCGACAGGAGGGGCGGTGTGTCAGTCGCGGGATAAGCGTGGGGGGCAGGCGGGGGTGGGGTGCCTTGCCCCCCGCTCCGCCCGCCCCCTGGTGGCCAAAGCTACGAGTTGGGCCCCCTTTGACAACCACCATGAGAGACAAATGAAAATACTGGGGGGCCCCATCCGACCGATTGCTGCACCCCCTCAAGCTGATCATGTCGTGACTACGCCACTGGCTTGTGCCTCTCCGTTCACTAGATTGTGTCGACGTTTGCCCGGCACGAACAGCTCGAACGGGCCTTATCCATCTCTCTCTCTCTCCCCCCGTGTGGATATTCATACACCGCGTCGCTGGCAGATGGAGTCGGTGGTACGTGGCTAGTAGTAGCCACAGCCAATATTGCGAGAGGGATACTGGATGCGTTGTGCCGGGTGCGGACATATATTTGCTTACCGGTTCACCGAACCGGGCAGGGCTGTATCAAATTGAACACCTGGGTGGGAGTCCTGCCACTCTCAAGGGGCCGTCCATAAATGACGTCACGTACCTAGGGGGGGGGGTCAGACATTTGTGACGATGTGTGACGAGGGGGGGGGGGTTTGAGAAATGGGACGTCACATCAAAATGCGCAACTTTAAATCAATAAAGAATTGTTATAACAACACTAATTGTTATAACAACACTCCTACAACATCAGAGTGCAGCCGCCCCATTAAATACGCACTACAATGACAATAGTTTACAGCGATTTGAAGCATGTTTTATTTTCAAAATGGAAATATAGTTTTGAGGGGGGGGGCAGAGCTTTGTGAAGTCATATTTGAGGGGGGGGGGGTCTGACTTTTTGTGACGCCGTGTGACGAGGGGGTGGGGGGGGGGTCAAAAATCGTCCAAAATCGCGTGATGTCATTTATGGACGGCCACAAGTGACACTGTTTGATTCCCCGTCACGGCTAACACAGTGGTGAGTTACACAGACTCGGTACCCCCCCCCCCGTTCCTCACCAACCCGCACTGACCATTGTGGTGAAGTATGGTCGTACAAACCATTCGACCGACACAGCGTGCAAGAGGCCTGGCTTCGTCCAGAAGTGGAATAAACAATGGCTGTAGCGACCACTACTACAAGGGTAACAATAGTTGATGCTGTATGGATAATTGACAGGGCTTTAATTAAAATCGTGTCTGTCCGGGTCGGTGACCCTTAAAATACACCCGCACCCGGCACACCACATCAGGTATTTACCGCTGGTTATTTTAATCGATGTTGTTAGTCACGTGACATGACTTGGTCGTCCAAGCAAACCCCGAGAAAATAATTCCTGAAAAACTAAAAAAAAGAATAATCCCCCACAACAGCACAGAGACAGCTCACAACACACATTGGAGAGATAAAATAAAATCCAACAGCAATGACAACTCTGAGAATCCAAAATTCACACGGGAGATGTCATATCGTGGTGCGTGTGGCTGCTTCGCGTGGTTGGTGGCATTTGCCCGGGTGCAATGCATGAATTGGTGGGGTTGGTGGGGCTGTCTTCTGTGTAAAGACATCGGTAGCCCGATGTCAGCAGGGCTCCCCTCCGGCCCGTTAGCCCCCCGCCCCCGCTGCCCACAGCACAGTTGCACCGCCTGCACACTCGACAGCTGACGCCCCGCGCCACTCGCAGTTGGGCGTCGTTCTTGCTGCTGCTACCGCCGACAAAGGCGGGCAGGGAGGGACGGCGGAACGGAGGGGGACGAAGGGAGGGGAGGAATGAGGACGAGAAATAAGAGCGACGAGAGAGGAGAAAGTAGGAGGGGATAGTTGTTGGGGGTGGGGGGGGCAGAAAGCCAGACCCAGGGCAGGCACTCGTTTTGGATGAACGAAGCAGCGGACGCGGCATCTCCCGTCTCGTGATCGCCGCTCACCACGGCAGGAGGTAGGTGAGCCTCCGTGATGCTCTTCACTTTGCAGGTGGAAACCTTTCGGCGGAGCTACGCGCGAGCCGTACGCCGACTGCAGGTGTGTCTAACCACGAGCGCGCACTGCAGGTGTGTCTAACCACGAGCGCGCACTGCAGGTGTGTCTAACCACGAGCGCGCCCTGCAGGTGTGTCTAACCACGAGCGCGCACTGCAGGTGTGTCTAACCACGAGCGCGCACTGCAGGTGTGTCTAACCACGAGCGCGCACTGCAGGTGTGTCTAACCACGAGCGCGCACTGCAGGTGTGTCTAACCACGAGCGCGCACTGCAGGTGAGTCTAACCACGAGCGCGCACTGCAGGTGTGTCTAACCACGAGCGCGCACTGCAGGTGTGTCTAACCACGAGCGCGCACTGCAGGTGTGTCTAACCACGAGCGCGCACTGCAGGTGTGTCTAACCACGAGCGCGCACTGCAGGTGTGTCTAACCACGAGCGCGCACTGCAGGTGTGTCTAACCACGAGCGCGCACTGCAGGTGTGTCTAACCACGAGCGCGCACTGCAGGTGTGTCTAACCACGAGCGCGCACTGCAGGTGTGTCTAACCACGAGCGCGCACTGCAGGTGTGTCTAACCACGAGCGCGCACTGCAGGTGTGTCTAACCACGAGCGCGCACTGCAGGTGTGTCTAACCACGAGCGCGCACTGCAGGTGTGTCTAACCACGAGCGCGCACTGCAGGTGTGTCTAACCACGAGCGCGCACTGCAGGTGTGTCTAACCACGAGCGCGCACTGCAGGTGTGTCTAACCACGAGCGCGCACTGCAGGTGTGTCTAACCACGAGCGCGCACTGCAGGTGTGTCTAACCACGAGCGCGCACTGCAGGTGTGTCTAACCACGAGCGCGCCCTGCAGGTGTGTCTAACCACGAGCGCGCACTGCAGGTGTGTCTAACCACGAGCGCGCACTGCAGGTGTGTCTAACCACGAGCGCGCACTGCAGGTGTGTCTAACCACGAGCGCGCCCTGCAGGTGTGAGCTCGTTGGCCACGGGTGAACCGAATGGCCGGCGCGATAGGCGGCTTGTGAGATCGCGATAGGGCGAGCCTTCTGAGCGACAGCTCCAGGTTTGGTCTTCAGAGTGCTGTACAGGTGAGCACCAGACGCTGCACAGCTCCACACGAGCTTACGACAGTGGTAGGTGAACTGATTAACAAGTCGGCGGATTAACTGGGGCGGCAAAGTGAGAGCCAATATTCACCGGAGCTCCAGGCCACCGTGTGTTTTCTTCAATTCACCCTGTGTCACCCGTGGAGTGCGCGCTGGCGATGACTTCTGCCCCTTGGTCCCACGTGCTGATTGTCGCAGAGGTGTCATTTATTTGCGGTGGCGATCTGAACATGCATCGCATCTCTTTACTTGTGTCGCTTTGCCCTTTCTTATTTTGCTGCCGCCGCTGCTGCTGCTGCTCTTCGTACACAAACGAGCAGCAGTTCACAGACCGACGCAGTCTGGAAGCTGTTGAAGGCCCTCGCTGCCAATTAACGGCAGATTTTTTTTTACTTTTTACGACTAAGGAGGGAGGGCTTCGTGGCCGAGTGGCGTTGCCACCTGCCCCGGTTTTCCCCTTTTTTAAGGTGGTTATCCTGGGACGTCTGTAACTCTGCCGGGAATATTAAAGGTCCCGGTTTTTGTCAGTGGCGTCATGATGATGATAATAACCAGTCGCGTAACTAGCGTGCGGGAAAGGGGTGCCTTGCCCCCCCCCCCGCCCTCCCTGGTGGCCAAAGCTACGATTTGGGGCCCCCTTGACAAGCACCATGAGATATGTTTTTCAACAACGGTGTAAAATAACAACGACACTTATTTAAAACGCGGTCGGTTTCCATTTTATTTGAATGAAAATGGCATAATTTACGTTGCGAATTTTTATTTAATTAAAATCAAATATTAGGGGCCCCACCTGACCGATTTTCGCATGCCCTGAGCTGACAATGTCGTTACTGCGCCAAATGATAACAAGACACCACTCAAGGACACGCATTTACATGGAGTTCTGCCCTCGTCCCCTGTTGTGAGATACTGTATTCCTGTTCTTCCCATGATATGTTCCTGTTGGGGTGGCTTTTTCCAGTACCTCAAGTGGAAACCCTATTACAGAGTGAGGAACTGGTTGGTAATTACAGAAGTGAGTGATCTCTTGGTGAAGCTGATTATACACGCCAAGCGAAATCACTGGCTCTGTGGAGCGACAGAACGAGTTCGTGAAATATGGTTGGAATATACATGCACCTCCGATTGGCTATGTACGGTGCGAAAGAAGTTCAGCATTCATGCGTGCACGATCCTTATGCAGCCATCGCTTTACAGCGCCCCAAAATTTGAGTGATGAGTTTCGGGGTTGTTTTCGTTCTTCTCTGGCCTGACACTGGTGAGACGAGGCCCTCAAGAAGGCTGCTCGCTGTCTTTGGTGTAGGCCAATCAGTTTCAAATACAATGCCCGTATATTATCAGAGCATGTTTTGTGTACATGTTCACCACAAGTACCGTGCGTGGTTAATGTAGTGCTTGATTGCTTGCAAAAGGTTTATATTTGGTGTTTAAACATCTGAACACCTCCTGTTTTATTTCCAGAAAGGGTAAACACATATTATTTAAGTGATGAGTTTACTTGATCCGTGGTGCTGCGTGATAACAGCAGCAGGCAATAAGAACAACAGCAACAACAAGATACATCAACGTCAATATCGCCAGAGAACGCGTAACACGGCCCTTAAGGGATATTGCACAAGAAACAAACGAAGGCGTTTTCCCGTGGTGAACGATCACGGGCGAATCTCAACGTTGATTTTTTATCCGTTTACAAATGAACATTTTGCCTGCTCTGTTGGAGTTTGGCACTCTTGCTAGGCTGCCCACTAAACTTTCTGAAGGCTGAATTCAGTGTTTGTTCCATTTAAGACTGAACATGAGATAACGTGAACCCGAGCTATCGTCTGTGAGTATGTATTGCGGGCTGAGGGCATGACGCACGAATGCCGAAACCGAAGAGTTTCCCTGTTCGAACGAGCGATGGGACGTTGCTCGTCGATGTTAATAGGCCCGTGTCACGGACGACACGTCCAGCCCTTTGTTAAATCCACTGCTGGATGAAGGCCTCTCCCCGCGCCTTGCGGCTCACGGGGGCTGTTTGACTATACTTCACCACGCTGATCAGTGCAGGTTCGCCGACGGTGGGAAGCATAGATGCGGAAGCTTATACATACGGTACAATAACAACACTAAATTTCGATTTAAAGCTTTCGTGACTGCAGGGATTCATTTTCTTGGTTCTTTCGGTAAAGTCACGTAGAATGGAAATAATAAAAATAAAACATAATAAAATAATTCTCACGACGTTTTGGCCACAACGCAAGTAGCCGTCCTCAGGTGGAGAACAGGTCTGTCGAGGAGACAGCGTCTGCAGACTCTGTCTCCTCGACAGACCTGTTCTGTTGTGGCCGAAACGTCGTGAGAATTATTTTATTATGTTTTATTTTTATTATTTTATTATTTCCATTCTACGTGACTTTACCGAAAGAACCAAGAAGAATAACAACACTGTTTTGCTGCACTGACTGCCCAACCATATCCCTGCAGCAGCAGCAGCAGCCTATAACACCTGTTATGCACGGTAGTTACCCTTTGAAGCATTATGCAGTCTAAACCTGCTTAGCTTTTGATATCCGATAAGGAAAAGAACACTCCGCGTGATTTGGTCCTAGGCAATAACCCCTTCCGCTAGAGGTGGAAATTCCACGTTGCTCTGGCGGGAGCCAGTCTCCCTGCGGGAACAACTGCTGTCGCGTTCACAGCAAAGTCTCTCTCGTTGTCTCGACCTTCGAGGGGCATAAGGGGGCTGAGTCGACCCCGCCGACCAGGATTTGAACTCGCAAACCCTGACGATCGCGAGTCAAGCTCACGTCAACCCGCAGAGCCCCCTCGCGGCGCTGGATATGGCAAGATAATTACAGAGAAGGAACAACTCCGTAACTTAAAAAAATAAACATCCTTTAACAAAAACAACAACCACCACCAGACGTGACCATCACTCGTGTCCACTGGTCAACTTGCGCGATAGTCAACCTTAAATGGCTAATGGGAAGTTGGAACTCCGATAAAACTCCAAACACGCGCACACATACAAATACAGATATCCACCGTATAGAATTAACAGACTGTAGGGGCAAGTGCTGTTAGCAAGGCCGGCACGGCACACGAGGGGGTGGGTGGACAACACCACGCCCGGCCGCCTTTGTCTCCCTAGTGACGATGTTTACACATCGTATCAAGTACTCATTTGAGGCTGAGTCGACCTAGGGGAGGCCCAGGCCCGGTTCAGATAATCGTCACCGCATTTGGCCGTGAACGGGAATCGAACCCGGGCCGCCAGGTTCGTAGCGCAGCGCGCTGACCGCTACACCACCGCTCCCCACTACACACGCATGCACAGACACTCACACACAGACACACACGCACAGACACTCACACACGGACACACACGCACAGACACACACGCACAGACACTCACACACAGACACACACGCACAGACACTCACACACAGACACTCACACACGGACACACACGCACAGACACACACGCACAGACACTCACACACAGACACACACGCACAGACACTCACACACAGACACTCACGCACCGACACACACGCACAGACACACACGCACAGACACTCACACACAGACACACACGCACAGACACACACGCACATACACTCACACACAGACACACACGCACAGACACACGCACGCAGACACTCACACACAGACACACGCGTACAGACACTCACACACAGACACACACGCACAGACACTCACACACAGACACACACGCACAGACACTCACACACAGACACTCACACACAGACATTCACACACAGACACACACGCACAGACACACACGCACAGACACACACGCACATACACTCACACACAGACACACACGCACAGACACACGCACGCAGACACTCACACACAGACACACGCGTACAGACACTCACACACAGACACACACGCACAGACACTCACACACAGACACACACGCACAGACACTCACACACAGACACTCACACACAGACATTCACACACAGACACACACGCACAGACACTCACACACAGACACACACGCACAGACACACACACACAGACACTCACACACAGACACACGCGTACAGACACTCACACACAGACACACACGCACAGACACTCACACACAGACACACACGCACAGACACTAACACACAGACACTCACACACAGACATTCACACACAGACACACACGCACAGACACTCACACACAGACACACACGCATAGACACTCACACACAGACACACACGCACAGACACTCACACACAGACATTCACACACAGACACACACGCACAGACACTCACACACAGACACTCACACACAGACACACACACAGACACACGCACAGACACACACGCACAGACACACACACACAGACACTCACACACAGACACTCACACACAGACACACACGCACAGACACTCACACACGGACACACACGCACAGACACACACGCACAGACACTCACACACAGACACACACGCACAGACACACACGCACAGACACTCACGCACAGACACACACGCACAGACACTCACGCACAGACACTCACTCATAGACACTCACTCACAGACACTCACTCATAGACACTCACTCACAGACACTCACTCATAGACACTCACTCACAGACACTCACACACAGACACACGCGCACAGACACAACAGACACAACAGCAACAGACACTCACACACGGCCACACAAGCACAGACCACACGCACAGACACTCACACAACAGACACACCACGCACAGACCACTCACACACAGACACTCACCACACGGACACACACCGCACAGACACACACGCACAGACACTCACACACAGACACACACGCACGACACTCACACACAGACACTCACGCCACCGACACACACGCACAGACACACACGCACAGACACTCACACACAGACACACCACGCACAGACACACACGCACATACACTCACACACAGACACACACGCACAGACACACGCACGCAGACACTCACACACAGACACACGCGTACAGACACTCACACACAGACACACACGCACAGACACTCACACACAGACACACACGCACAGACACTCACACACAGACACTCACACACAGACATTCACACACAGACACACACGCACAGACACACACGCACAGACACACACGCACATACACTCACACACAGACACACACGCACAGACACACGCACGCAGACACTCACACACAGACACACGCGTACAGACACTCACACACAGACACACACGCACAGACACTCACACACAGACACACACGCACAGACACTCACACACAGACACTCACACACAGACATTCACACACAGACACACACGCACAGACACTCACACACAGACACACACGCACAGACACACACACACAGACACTCACACACAGACACACGCGTACAGACACTCACACACAGACACACACGCACAGACACTCACACACAGACACACACGCACAGACACTAACACACAGACACTCACACACAGACATTCACACACAGACACACACGCACAGACACTCACACACAGACACACACGCATAGACACTCACACACAGACACACACGCACAGACACTCACACACAGACATTCACACACAGACACACACGCACAGACACTCACACACAGACACTCACACACAGACACACACACAGACACACGCACAGACACACACGCACAGACACACACACACAGACACTCACACACAGACACTCACACACAGACACACACGCACAGACACTCACACACAGACACACACGCACAGACACACACGCACAGACACTCACACACAGACACACACGCACAGACACACACGCACAGACACTCACGCACAGACACACACGCACAGACACTCACGTACAGACACTCACGCACAGACACTCACGCACAGACACTCACGCACAGACACTCACACACAGACACTCACGCATAGACACTCACGCACAGACACTCACACACAGACACACGCGCACAGACACACACGCACAGACACACGCGCACAGACACTCACGCACAGACACTCACACACAGACACTCACACACAGACACACGCGCACAGACACACGCGCACAGACACTCACACACAGACACTCACACACAGACACTCACGCACAGACACTCACACACAGACACTCACGCACAGACACTCACGCACAGACACTCACGCACAGACACTCACACACAGACACACGCGCACAGACACACGCGCACAGACACTCACACACAGACACTCACACACAGATACTCACGCACAGACACTCACGCACAGACACTCGCGCACAGACACTCACACACAGACACACGCACAGACACTCACACACAGACACACACACACAAAGACAAAGATCCCCCGTTTAGCCTTAACAGACTGTAGGGGCAAGTGCTGTTAGCGAGCACACACACAGACACTCACACACAGACACTCATACACAGACACACACACACAGACACACGCGCACAGACACACGCGCACAAGCCTAACAATCGGTGGCATTCCAATAGCTCGCCGTGGTTTCGTGTTTTTTGTTTGTTGCTGCGCGAGTCTCTCGTACAAGGCGAGCAAAGGGACCCCCCCTCCCCCCCGGTGACGATGACCGCACCAGGAGGTGGGGGTGGCCCCCACAGGCACCACTCCTCCTCATAGCAGAGATCAGAGGTCTTACCTCAATAAACTCTCCACCCCCCTCCACCCCCCGTGATTATAACCTTTAAAGCATTTGTGTGTGAACTTGAAGCGTTGATGATAAACACGCTGGCATGTTTCAAGTGGTTTTGTAATTTACAGCGCCTCCCTCTTTTTTTGGTCAAATCCGCGATTGGACCGCTTGCCCCTCGTCACATCAGTTGCGGGGGGTTAGGGGGGTTGCCGTACTTCGCTTTGCTTGTCAGTGCGGGGGGTGAGGGGGGTTGCCGTACTTCGCTCTGCTTGTCGGTGCGAATTGGTGCAGGATGGGAGCGGGCCCGGGACCATTGCCGGATTTCACCCGCCGTTAATGTTCGCCGTAGCCAGGCATCGAACCCATGTGGTGTGCTTTGTGGTGTAGTGTGGTAACCGTGGCATCCACCCCTTAAGTAGTTGACGCTTCAATGAAGTTAGAATATTGAGTTTTAGATGTGAAGCCCTCTGCACAACACCTGACGCTGGCCCCACTGTTAGCAGCCATAACTCAGTACAAATGAAAGCACACCCGGGTGTCTGTGCAGGCAATGGGCCCCATATATCAATAGAGCTGTCCTACAGGGAGACGCCCAGAATCCATCAAGAGAGGTGAAGGTCTGTGTCAGGTGTGTGGCGTGGTGGGCATGGAGCCCTGGGGAAAGAAATTAAACGCGGGCCCCTGTAAAATTGTCCCCCTCCCACTCCCCCCCCTTCTTCCCTTCGTGGCCCGGCGCCTGGGCCCTTTCGAACCCCATTGCAGTTGCACCGCCGGGACACTCGATAACTACCCCACTCGGTCTGTCGAACCGCGTGTTGCGGGTACGTCTACTTCATACCCCGTGCCACCATGGGCCCCGCGGTGCAGTTGCACCGCCTGCACCCTCACTGTCTACTCGGCTGGTCTGTGCGGTGTCGCAGGTCCATGTCCCCGTTCAGGGCCACGTCTGCCGCGGGCGGCGGTTGGCATCTTCGCGGCTCCACGGTGGCGCTCTTGGTGCTGCTGCTGCTGTGCTGCATGGCGGAGCTGGCGAGCGGCCAGCGGGCGGGCGGCCGGCGAGATTCGACAAGGAGGGCCCCCTCCTCGTTGCGCCACAAGAGGCCCCAGGCAAACCCGATGCCCGCTTCGTTGTACGGGAGCGACGGCCCAGGTTTGGCGGCGAGCTCACCTGTCAGTTGACGGACTCTTCTCGGTCAAATGCGAACTGCAGTGGGGCTTAGTTCCTCGACGGAATACTTCGTGGAGTAGAAATGTGATTAGTAGCCACGGTAGTAGCGAGAGGCTTCTCCGGCCATCTGGAACGCTCTTCCTTCCGATTATAATAAGAAGCCACTGGAGCTATGCACTTTCAAATCTAGATTGAAAACTTATTTCTTTATAATGGCTTTTTGTGTTTTAGTTTGTTTTCCTTCCCCTGCACCTCCGGTTAGCGCCGTTGGCTACGTACGGTGAAAAATAAGTTTAACATACATACGTACGAGATGTGGTGTGTTTTGGGTGGAGAAATATTTTACGGGTCACCAGCGCTGGACAGATCTGGCTGCTGTGGGGAGGTGGAACTGTGGGGGGGTCGAGGGTCGGCCCGGCCACTGCGCGGACACAGAAGTGAACCCCACTGGGACGGCTGCTCAACATCACCCAGATAGAAGCGCCAGTTTAATGCACTTTGTATAGAATGTTGTTTTTAATTCACCCATGAAGCTTAATAATATTTAAAGCTCTCTTTTTTAAAGGAGAAAGTCCTGCTTGGAAATTGTATTCGTTTCGTGATTGAATATTTTGGGGGTTTTTTTTGCAAATAAATATGTTTGTGTTTGGAATTGCACTGCTAATTTGACCATTTGAATCCAATACTGCCGCGTAAAATCAAATATTCTACGAACCACCAACATTTGAGACCTATGTCTGTTCACTCGTTAGCTCCTGTCAGCCAGCAATATCAGTTTTTTATTATCTTTTTTAATTATCGGTAAAGTATTCTGTAAAAGTCCATTTTGGTTCGTTGCGACTTGCGAAATGTTGCTTATCCAGACCATTTCTTAAGTCATCAATTTCCCTGAAACACAGAGGCCTTTTATTGGACACGCATTACAACTGGAGGATATGGATCCACTCAGATACAATCTGCTTTTGTCACTCTGCCTGGGCTGCCCCTGGGGGGGGGGGGGATATCCCATGTCTCCATCTCTCAGCACGCGTGCATGCGCGCGCGCAACTGAAGAAACGCACTACGTCCTATCTTCTAATGCCACAAACGCTTTCAACGTGCTTCTGTTTTCACTTAACAAGCAACTAACCCCCTCCCCCCCCCGATTGTCGCCACCCATCGAGTCTTGACCTAAACTATAAAACATAATAAATAACAAGGCGGTAAACAAAAAGTTGTGTTGTCTTCGTCCGTCCCGTGCACCACACGCCTGCCACTGCTCGTGCGCCTCGCCGTTCCCTTTGGCAAATGTGGTCCAGACGTGAACTTGACCTGCGCCATGGAGATCGCCTTCCTCATCGACAGCTCGGAGAGCGCCAAGGGCAGCAACTACAATTTCGAGCAGAAGTTCGTGCTGGACTTCACGGCGATGCTGCAGAGGGAGGCCGGCCTCGCTGGCATCCTCAGCTGGAGGATCGCACTCCTCCAGTACAGCAGCACGGTCAGTGCCTTCTACTTCGCGAGAGTGTGGTAAATTTGTTTTGATTCATGCGCCGGGGAACCCAGAGATAGAGGAATCGTGCGCGAGGATGATGATTAAAATGTGAGCGTGCCCAATGATTTGTTTCCAAGGATTACATTTTGTTTTTGTTAGATTTTTTTTTCAAGTTATGTTGATTAATGGCTATGGTCATTAAAAAAAACAGAATTTCAAGTAAACACGGATTAAAAATTATGATTCCCATGAAATATGGAGGATTTGAAACTCATATTTTGCAGGAACCACGTTGGAACACAAATCACTGACGCAGAAACAAAGCCCTTCCACGACAGTGGCATAGCCGGGTTGCCATGTGCCCTGGTGCCAGGAATGAAACGTGTACTGTCATTACGTGTTTACTACGTGCGCGTCGATTGATACCCTGGACATCCTTTCGACGAGATGTTCCATCTCAATGGATTTACGTGGGTGAAATATGCCAATAAACACAACAAAACCTGTCGCCTGGGCCCCTCCTGCCCACGCGGCCTCTGGCACGGTTGTGCCCCTTGCGCATTCGACGTCCACACAACCGGGCCACGCGTGTCTCTTCCCCCTCTCTCTCTCTGTCTCTCTGCAGGTGCGTGTGGAACAGATGCTGCATGACTGGCAGGGACCGGACGATTTCTCCGCCCGGGTGCGGCAGATGACGTACATCGGACACGGCACGTACACGGCGTACGCGCTGGGAAACCTCACGGAGCTGTACGACGAGCAGGCGCGGGCCGACTCGGTGCGAGTCGCCGTCCTCGTGACGGACGGCGTCGACCACCCGCGTGGCCCCGACCCGGCGCAGGCGGCGGGGGCGCTACGCGCGCAGGGCACGCGCCTCTTCGTGCTGGGCCTGAGCAACGTGGCGCGCCAGCCGGACAACACGGCCCGCCTGCAACTCATGGCCAGCGCGCCGGCCACGCGATACGTGCACGACCTGCGCCACCCGGCCACGCTGGGCACTCTCATCGCCGAGCTGGTGAGACCGGGGGCGACGCGGGGAGAACGTTGCTGGGCAGCCGCTTCTGTTTGTGCTCGACGGAGGCCAATTGTTGAAAGTGTACGCGGTATGAAATGTTGGAAATCTTGTAAAAACTAAGTGTGCATACGCGAAATGCAAGATAATACGCAAATTCTACTTTTCCTTTACAATAATGAAAGCCGTATAATGAACAAACAATCATGATACTTTTCTGCAATCATGAAAGTGACCTAATTCCTGCACGCACAGAGCAGTTTTCACTGCAGCTCTTGGGGCATTGTGGTATATTATGCTCAGCAATCATTATGATGTAGGCGTCAGCGGAATTAACTGACATTTCCTAGAACACAATTCTGACATGCCATATGGTGACGAGTAAATGACGAATTAAAAGTTTGACACTTAGTTTTAAACAGGTTAATTGGACATTCATGATAAAGGTTTTTTTGGGTTAGATCGCATAAGTAGAAATGTGTCGTTAACCCGACACAGCCAATTGGTAAGGTTTGTCACGTAAACAAAACATGGCAACTAGTTGCTACTTCAGCCCACCGGTGTGTTGGAGAGTAAAATTTGACTACGACATTCCTCCGGTAATTACATCCAGCATCATCGGGCGATTTTGCCAGAATTGGCGGATTAATGATACATATTGGTCGCGAAAGCCTACGTGACAAACGAAATTGCACAGTGCTGCAGTAATTTTAGAGTAGTCTTGAACGATAACCTCGATCATTTTATATTTCACTTTATTTTGTTCATTCATCATCACGATCATCCATTTTCTGTCCACTACTGAATGAAAGAATCCCCGTGCTGCCACCATCCTTTGCTTTCCTGCGATACCACAATCCGTACATCTCCCACACGCGAACTGATCTCTCCACTCCATCTCCGTGTTGGTCGGATGTCCTCCTCAAGTGCATTTTCTCCTTTGGCTGTCATTCTACCACCGGTCTCGTCTCTCATCCGTCATCCCTCGCGAGCGGCCTGTGCTGCCTGAGCCCACCAACCTTCCCGAACGGCCAAGGCAGAGAGATCTCTGCGATCAGTGTTTGCTTCCCCGCTCTGTGTTGTCCCTCTTTATGTGTAACTCCGAATGTCTACCTCTCCGTGATTATTTGTGCATTCTTCCACTGCTGTTCTAGTTTCATCGTTTCGTGCCCACATTTCTGACGCACAGATCACAGCTATAGTCATGCTTTTTTCCGTTCAGTTTATTGAAACGCTCAGTGTTGTACCCTCATTTGTGTATTGTCTAATCTTCCCCATATTTTGGCATTTTCTTTCCTGCAGAACACGCTTGCCGATGAAGAGGTAAGATGTGTAAAAGCGCTGTTTTGTTTTTTCCCTAAAATGAGAAGCAATGAGTGTGAAGCGGAAAATGCTCAATTCCGTCTGTTCAGCACGTGACCTGTCACAGTTCACGAGATTTAAGTGATGCATGTTGAGCCTGAGTTTTAACACCAAACTTTGGAGGTGGTTGTATGTCTCAGGGGGCGGTTAATATTGAGTCAGAGACGTTGAACCATCACTGCTGAGATCTCGGAGTTAACTTTAGGCAGCTACCCATGATTAAACTGAACGCATCTGTAAACTATTTTTGTTATTTGTGACTGTGCACCACTGCCAGTGCAGTATCAAAAGATGTATTTGTAAAATTTTCATGATTAAGCTGGATTCCCAAGTACGGTTAATGTGAGTTTATGATCTCAGCTTGTTCACCAATGCACAGCATGACATAAACATTATTACCGTACCTTAAATATTATTTTTCACTACATTTAGCTTATTCAAGCTGCTGGAGAATGAAACATATAAGGAGACTGTGAAGTCCATTCAGATGTAGTTCTGTAATGTCATCTTCTGGGGAGCTGTGCTCTAACATGTGGTGGTTTACTGCTCTGCTACAAGAGCTCAAAGGTGGATATTTCCTAATCTTATGACATGCTATGATACCAATAACATTGCTGGAATATACGGTGTTCTCCACGCATTCCCCCCCAATCCCGCACGCCTGCAATTTACTGCACAAGTTGGGCAATGCGTCTTGCAATCCAGCGTGTGTGCGTGTGTGATTAGTAGCTTTCTTTGCCACACCGGGCACGAGTTTGGACGTCCGTCTTACCATCCGGAGCACCTCGACTCATTCAGAACCAAAACAAAAAACAACAGGAAATATTGTGTGTGTGTGTTGGGGGTGGGTGGGTGAAAGCAAAAAAAGTTTGTTTCCAAACTAAAATTGCCGTTTATTTCCTCGTGTGCCGAGCAGTGTCCCAAGCAGCCGGCGTGCCAGTGCGAGAAAGGCGAGCGTGGAGCTGCGGGGATCCCGGTGAGAAGTCGTGGGCCACCGTTCCCTGTCACACTTTCCCATGCACGACGACTCACGTGCCCTTGTTTGTGGTTCCTACGCAGCTGCGCGTGATGGCGGCAGTGGGATTTGTGGCGTTGAATGTAATCAATGAAGCCCTTAACGCCTGCATTAAGGAGACATTTTTCTTTTTTGTAAAGTGTGTTCGGAGTGTACGGATGTCGGGCTTTCGTAGAACAAAGCGTGTCTCTCTCTCTCTCTCTCTGGTTGCCAACATAGTTTACATTGCATGGCTGACAGACCTGCAAATTCAATTGGTTTCAAATAAAATCAGTCAGGTGTGCAACCATGCTCCTGGCACCGTTGGTACGTTTTCTTTTGCCGTGGACTTTTTTCCCCCGTTTTTCAATTCCAATTCCACCGCTCAGTGCCATCGATGGCCTTGAGCGGTGCAAACGAAACTTGTGTTGCCTCCGAAACGTCGTGATCTTTATTTTATTTTATTATTTTATTAATTTTGATGTTTTACCTTACGTGACTTTACCGAAAACACCTAAGAAGATGAACATGTGTTTTGTCGATGGAGCGATATTTTGCTTCAAAAGTTTGGACACGGGCAATGACATCACGGTAGCGTTTCTAAGTTGGTGGGAGTACAGGTGGGGCACTCGGCTCTGTTTAATGCTCAATCGTTGGACGATTATGGAAAGGAAAGTTCTTGGTTTAGGACAGCAGTGATTCTGACAAAGGTCTGACGAACGTTGGAGTGGTCGGTTTTATATAATCGGTCTTGAAAATTATAATAATAAAACATTTAACAATGTGTAATTTTCCGAGATTAGCATAATTCCGGAAAATTACACATTACCATAATTTCGGAAAATTACACGTTGTTTAATTTTCATGAAAACATTTGTTTTTCTAATTTTCAAAACCGATGATATACAACAGGTCTCCAACGTTGGAGTCTGTTCACCAAGTGGAAGACCTCAGGGCAGATGGTGGGGTAGATGTTGGGCCCGATTTTGGAGATCGCATGTCCTACCGTGCAGCGGCAGCCGCGGAACCTGTAGGAGGGTGGAAAGCGCTTGCTTGGTGTGGCGGTGTCAAAGACCTTCAGGCCGCGATGACGGGCTGACATGTAATGCTCTGACCATGGCTCTTGCATGGCCTGAAGTCGCACGATGTGCCCGTGGCAACAACATCTACGCCGCCAGCTGAATCCAGGGGACTCGTTTAGTGATGTAGAAACGTGCGTTTCATAGTATGTGGGTGCCATACATTTACACATTCATAATAAAGTTTTTTACAGAATTCTGGCAAAAATCGCCCCATGATGCTGGATGTTATTACCAGCGAAACGTCGCAGTACTCAAATTGCAAATGTTGTGGATTTACTCTCCAACACACCAGTTAAGTAGTGACTAATTGGCACGTTTTGTTTACGTGACAAACCTTACTAATTGGTTGTGTCGGGTGTTGGCGCGATCCAAACTAAAAAAACCTTCATTTTGAAGGATATTGGTCGCGAAAGCCGACGTGTTCCCGGTCTTTAAATAGAGCAGCACGGTGACGTCATCATTTAACCCAATCTGGTCCAGTGATTCGAGGCGGAGAGGGGGAGGGTATTGCAAATATATAATATATTGGTAATCATTCAGTTGTTATTAATTAGTATTTGTTTCCCCTATAAGGACGGGCCATATCATCACTTTGCCACTGTTGTTAGTTGTAAGATCGGGAGCAAGTGGAGGGCTTCACCATTCTGGCAAATTTCCCGATGATGCTGGATGTAATTACCAGCGAAACGTCGTACTCAAAAATTGTAAATGATGTTGATTCACTCTTCAACACACCGGTGGGCTAAAGTAGTGAACTATTTGTCTTTTGTAAACGTGACACATTTTTATTGTTTGGCCGTGTCGGGTGGTGGAGGGTTACGACACATTTATAAATAACGCGATCTAACCCAAACACCTTTATTATGAAACAATGTGTGGTAATATTATGGGCATTGTCTTTGAAACTGTTTGTCCTACATCAGAGACAGCAGCAGCCTTCTTTATGGCCTCGCCTCGCCTCGCCAGTGTGAGACCAGGCCAAACGCCCTCCAGAGGGAGCTCCCGCGAGCCCTGCTTGAGCTCCCCCGAGTGGAGGGCCCCATCCGCCCGCCAGCAGGGGCGTGAGCGAGCAATTACAGGGGCTGCGCCTCTAACCTTCTGTGACTGGAAGCGTCCAGCATCGGTGTGCGTCACGCGAAAGTAGGGAAGCCTGCACTGTCAGCTCCCCCCCCCCGTCTGCCTACGGATACCACAATGCGGCTTCTGTTCTGCCTACTTAGTCGCCAATAGGATAAACATTCCTCCCATTGACATTTCTAAAGCCGATCCCTCATGGTTATGCACGGGTTAAGAGTTCTTTCGGGAGAGGAGGGGGTGGCGGGTAGCAGAACCTCCCCCCCCCCCAATATTTTAATTGCATTCCATGCATTCGAAAGTTGACTTGGTCTGTGCGCGTGCGTGGTCAGTGACCCGGGAGAGTACTTTTGGTGTTTAGTGCCGTGCCCTCGTTATTTCTGTGGGTCAGGTGTGGGGGAATGCTCAGGTGTGAGGCTGCGGCAGTGGTGCGCCCTGCGAATAGTTTCGCTGGAGAAGAAACCCTCCGGGTGAAGTAATACAGCGCGGCCCCCGTACACACGTGCTCCGCCGCAATCCATTTTTATTAAATCTTTCACATCCTCCCCACTCCTCGGGTTACGCATACTATAATGGGGGCATGGTATTTCAAACCCGAATTTACCAAATGAATACTGGAAGAACCATTTATCATGGACAATTATGTTTTTTAATACTGTACTCAGTGGGTGGAGACGTCCAGAAAGTGCCTCTTGGTGGTAAAGAATTTAGGAGAAAAAATAATTAAAGTAAGTAAATTCTAACCATTCTCAATCCACACAAAACATTATTAGGGCCTTCCCACGCCACGCCTGTCACTGGAGTCTTTGACTCAACTTCACTGCGCTTTGTCAGTGCAGGTTGGTGAAAGCTGGGGAGGGAAGGACGGTCCATATCATCACTTGCCACTGTGGTTAGTTGTAAGCCAGGGATCGAACTCGGGTCCCCGGACTAGTGTTCTGCCACTGGTAAAGGAGCTCCTTGAATAATATCCTAAACGAAATAACAAATGTGCCATTGCTCTCTCGAGGGTTTATGTAGATTTTTTTCTCAGTTTCTCTACGCCCACAGTTTGGCCCTAAATCCATGATATCCTGCATTAGCCAGTCTCTCCGCAGGGCTCACCAGTTAATGAAGCGGATCGTAAACGCTGCCAAACACAACACATGGCATTAGCTGCAATATGGACACATTCTACCAAATGGAGGTCTGACTAAAATGCCACTACCACCACCACCACGGTGGTAACTCAAGAGGGGCAGGGCGAAGGAGATGGGAATTCACATCAGGCAAAAAAGTGAAAAACACGGCGACTAATACACGAGGGTACGGAAAAAGTGTAGGGATGGCCTGCAGCGTCGAAAGTCTCGCAGTGAAGCCAGGTGGGCTCATGAGTGCGGTCGTATTTCTTCCCGGAGACAGCCATAATTGTCGGTTTGCTCTCTACCCCGAGTGGTGCAGTTTGAGGGCAGCGCTCACTCCAGGGCAGCGTGTGGCGAGTAGCGCACAAACAAAACAAACTAAACTATAAACTTTTACATTTTGATTTAAAGCTTTCATGACTACTGCAGGGATTCATGTTCTTGGTTCTTTCGGTAAAGTCACGTAGAAGGGAAACAATGATTGCTTGTGTTGCAGTCGAAACGTCGTGAGAATTTTATTGTTTTATATTTTTCTTATTTTATTGTCTCCCTTCTACGTGACTTTACCGAAAGAAACAAGAATATAAACTTTTATTTTTATTTTACCCGGTAAGGCCCACTGACTGAGCTATATCACTCTATTTTTAGAAGCCACCGGGCCAAACATGATAGCTCAACGAAGTTGCTTGTCACGTGCACATTCATAGCAGCCAAATACTCTAAACGCACGTTGATTCGAAATGTGGAGGGGGGAAAATTGGAGGGGAAATCCACGCGACCATAGGGAGAACATGCAAATTCCAAATATACAGCAGGCGTCAGGGTCGGGAATCAACTCACAAACCTCCTGCATACCAGGCGAGGTAGTTAACATCTCGCCTCCGTGGAGAGACGTTAACGCGCACAGCAGCCCTGTAGCACTTTTCGATTAAAGGGCGTTAGATCGGTGGTACTCGGTTATCTAAGTTTGATTCCCGGCTACAGCGAACATCGGTGACAAATGACGTCAGCACCGGCCTTGCCCCCTCCCTCGACCAGCCCGCACCTGCCGGCGTGTTTAAATGCGGCGATGGCCTCCCCGATGGTCGACATTGCTGTGGGAAACCCTTCATCTATACTCCTTGGTTCTTTCGGTAAAGTCACGTAGGTGAAAATAAAAAATATTGTATTTTATTTTTATGTACTTTTATTATTTTTATTTTTTATTTTCACCTACGTGACTTTACCGAAAGAACCAAAGAGTATGGATCCTTGCAGTCACGAAAACTTCAAATCTAGAACCCTTCATCTGTTGGCGGATCGAGAGTGGCTTAAATGAAAACAGAAACTTACTGGCGGGAGGAAGGTGGCACGACGCCGTCAACGTTGCCGCGACCTCGGGACAAACGTGAAGCGCCGTAGAGACTGCGCGCCGCCGCGATCTGCTCGCGCCTGCCGTGTGAGTGCCCTCTGTGTGAGTGCCCTCTGTGTGAGTGCCGTCTGTGTGAGTGCCCTCTGTGTGAGTGTCCTCTGCCCGAGCTCCCCACCCCGTGTGCGTACGACGAACGGCTGCGACGCCCATCTCTTAGCCGTAACTCGAGGTGTCATTTTGTCCGGCTGGTTGTTGCAGACAGACGCATTTTTTTATATTCTTGGGTCGTTCGATAAAGTCACATAGATAGGTTCAAAGGAAATACATAAATGATGAAGCTATCTACGTGATTTTACCGAAAGACCCACGAATATGGATTCCTGCAGTCACGAAAGATTTAAGTCAAGACGCATTTTTCTTTTTTTTACATGTATGTCAAATGGATCTTGCGAATTAAACGAAGTGGGCTCCGCCCCTCCTCCCCCAACAGAATCCCCCCCCCCGCTACGGAGCTGGTGCCACAGCTTTCACGTTCATCAGCCCCCACTGTTGGGGTTGTGTGAGTGTCTGCGAGTCTTTATGTATTGCTCGATACAGCTCTGTACACACGCGGGATTTGATGATGATTCTCTTTTGTTCTATTGCAGGGTAGGAAAGGAAAACCGGGAAGGGATGGTGTGCATGGTGAAAGAGGACAAAAGGTGAGCGATATCATCACCACCGCCTGCACCACCAACACCAACGACAACGATCCCCCGTGTAGCCTTAACAGACTGTTGGGGCAAGTGCTGTTAGCGAGCACCTATGAAGGCCGGCACGGCACACCACGCCCGACCACCTTTGTCTCTCCAGTGGTGATGTTTACGCACCGCACAAGGTACTCATTTGAGGCTGAGTCGACCTAAGGGAGGCCGAGGACCGGTTAACATAATCGTGACTGCACCACCGCTCCCCACACCACTAGCACCATCGCCAGCACCGCACCTTCACGCTCTACGGCAGGGGTGGGGAACGTCCGACCCGCGGGCCGTACAAGGCCCGCGAAATCATTTGGTGTGGCCCTGCCAAGGCAACCGCAGAGGGGACTCGAAATGCAATAAATCTAGGAGCAAACCTGGAAAAGCAGTTGCGAGTAACAACATCATCAATACCAGCTAACATCACATGCCTCGCCAAAGAGAAGCAGTTCCAGCCATCACATTAGGGGTGAGTTAATTAAATGTTTGACCAAATATAACGGGCTAATTTTTTACTTGATAATTTTGTATGGCCCGCGAATGATGTTGTAAATATCCAAATGGCCCTTGGCAGAAAAAAGGTTCCCCAACCCTGCTTTACAGCTACGCCACTGACCGTTGATCTCCTCGCTATGAGTTCGTCTCCCTTAACGGTGTCGCCCGTCACCCACAGGGCGACGCCGGGGTGCCAGGAACCCGTGGAGCTGATGGCGCGGAGGTGAGAAAACTTTTATTGATATTTAAAACGAGTTTACATTCGCGAACAGGTTATGATACATGTGTGATGAGACAGATGGGTCTGGAACTATTCAAGTCAGTATTGTCCACCCCTTTATTTTAAATAGCAGAATTTATCGAGGAATTATTGAATGATTGAGGTATTTAATTTCTGTGAAAACATTAATGAAAGAGGTCCACTCATTTTGATTTAGCAGCTGGTCCCACTTTTTTGATGATGTCCACAACTATTCTATTTTGGTCTGGAAGCTCTCCAATTTTTTCATTCTGTGAATGGCCGTGATTGCCTCTTAATGTCTGGAACATCCTCCTCCCCCTCATCTCAAAAATCTGTCATAGTACTCGCAGAAACACGGAGAGGTGCATGCTCGTAATGACATTGAAGGACGGGACGAGGCGGACAGGGAGCAGGGAACATGTGCAAATTAAAGCATCGTATTGATCGTTCAGGTAAATTAAGTGGCTTTGGGCAGGACGCGGCTCGCTAAGTGACTATCGCAGATGAACAACACTGGCGACGCTACGTCAGCTCAAAAGAAAACAACGCTCCCATGAGGATGACCACTTTTTGAGATGTCGCGACGAAATCAGCTCATGATGACATGGGGCGGGCGGATGGGGGGGGCTTCATCCGGCAGTGGATAGAACATGGCTGCTGGCAATATTGAGACGTTGCCGTTGCGAGCGTAGGGTACACAAGTTGATGCGCAGTAGTTGTATGGCTAAGAGGGGGCCCTGTGAGCCTGCGTTTGTGCCCTGGGGGGGGAGGCGGTGGGGGGGGGGGGGTGAACAAAATAGTGAATGTATGCGATTTGTCTGCAAATAATTTTTCGTTGTGGCGGCTTTGATCACGAGTATCTCTCTGATTTTTAATCGTGACCTTAATTTGTCCGTAACAAATTCGGTAATGTGTGAAAAAAACATAAAAACGAGATTGTCCGCCCGCCGAGAACAAGCGTGTGCTTTGAGTGTTGGGAATGCGATCCGTACACGGGACATTTGCAGGGAAAAATATTGAAAGTCTTCCAGTCCTGCCCAGCGACTTGCTGGCTGTGGCTCCAGGTCGCGTCAGTAGTGAACTCCATCTTGAGTTTTCCAGCCAAGAAATCCATGCACCCTCTACGTGTGTATGTGTGTATGTTGAACTTATTTCGCACTGTACGTAGCCCACCGTGCTAACCGGAGTGAGAATAGTCCAGCAACACCCCCTGGTCCATTAGACGTTGACTCTTGTTCTTTTCTACGTCATTATTCTCATTATTTACCAGCTCATCTCAACCACGCCTCTGGCCAAATCACCCAGAAACGTACCAGGTTTCGTCAAAACTCGCAAGCTAAGCAGGCTCTAGCCTGGATAGCGCCTGTGGATGGGTGACCACCACACCCGGTGCGCGGCTGCTAGGTGCAATCGTTGCATCGAATGAGCACGATGGTTCTGGGGTAGCCTCCAATCCTGCAGTGGATTGAGAACTTCTCGCGATGGTGAAATGACCCAGGCCTTTTTATGTGAAATCCTGATGAGTGAAAGTTTCAGAAGGAATGGCGCAAATTCTTGTTGACAGTTGTGGTGAAGAAATTATTATTTATTTTGTAAACATTCATTTCATTGGTCAATACTACTTTAGTATGTAGATGACTGCAGAGCTTGGGTAATTGTTGGCTCATTGCGTGGCTGCTTTTATAGCTGTCTGTGGTTCCTCGTGCCTCTAAATGAGTCGTTCTCACTCCGTGAGGGCGAGCGGACACTGTGCGCGTTACGAGCCGAATTTTTTCTTCATATTTCTATAATTGAAGGGGGTTCAGTTGTGTTATTTTCACAAAACGCGCTGCCGTACGCCCCGAACACATTCTAGCAGTCGCGTCAATAACGAATCTTCATTCCTTTGTTCCCTCGCCGATGTTCAAAGTAACATTTCACCCGTGCAATTTGCAGTTTCTTATTACAAAACCGAGAAAGGACCACCCCAAAAAAGCGAGCTAAGTGCCCTTCTAGCTCTGATGAGGCCGGCACTTTTTGTTGTTGTTGTTGTGTTGTGTTGCCGAGAGGACATCCCCGCGTGCGCGGTGGGTCGGGCGCGCCAGGTGTCGAGAGCCAATTTGGTGCCCTGAAATTACAGAGGGGGCTGTGCGCCACAAGAGCGCGTGCACACACGTGTTTGGCTGCTCTTCTGCACACCCCAGACCTTCAACCCCCCCCCACCGCTACGCCTTTTGCCCCCTAGCTGTTGTCGTCCGCGTGGTATATTTTTTTCTACCGTTGATTCTCTTAACAGATATTTTTCGCTTTTCTTTGTTGTGTTCCCTCGTGGTTCCGTGTGGATTTTACGATAATTAACCTCACCTTTTTTCCCCTGGAAATCGCAGGGCCGGCCAGGATTTTCAGGGGAGAAGGTAATCACGAGAAAGTGGCATTGTGTGTGTGGCCTCCTCTTCCATTGTACTTGACCTCACCCCCCTCACCCTCCCCCTCACCATCCCCCCCCCAAACTCTCCTCCTGCCCCCCTCCCCCCATTCACCGCCACCCATCGGTGATGCATCTGCGGTATTCGCATGAAAGATGCAGTCACCTCCTAAGTCATCGTCGAGTTCTTAACGATTCACTCATTGATTCATTTCAATAGTTCGGTGGTCACAGTTTGATTCGAGAATCACATTTTAAAAAAATGTTTCTTGTCATTTGCACTGTCTGTACTGTATACGTTGTTTTTTTCTGCCTCATTTCTCTAATCGCCTATTTATAGAAGAGATTTTAACAGCAACATCGTTTTTTTAATTCATTGTAAATATAGCATTATACATGCCCGATTCTATGCACGTTTTTGTGCACACTCGTGAATGTTAAGTGCTTAATCAACCAATCTTTGCATGTCAAATCTTAATTGATTTACTTATGTATTTTTGGTGATTTTCTTACCCATCCTATATTTTACACATATTATCGTGTTTGTGTATTGCATTGTTGCTGTAACTTTCTGACCCGCCCCTGCTGGACATCTGTGAAAAAGGGCTTCACAGCTCATCGGATTTCTCCAGGATAAACGAAGAATCTGATTATGTTGAAGCACATTAATCATCTAGTGCACTAAATAGTGTGTTCACGCATCATAATGTATTGTGTCAACCGCCTCTGACCATACCACCCGCAATCCACCTAATGCCATCAGATTTCAGAAGCTAAGCAGCGTTGAGCTCAAATAGTGCTTGGATGGGCGAACACGGCCCAACGGTAGCGCGTTTGCTGCTTGTGGCAGAGGTTCACTGTTCGAATCTATTTGGCCGCCCTGGTTAATACTGCCGTGTAATAATAATAATAACACTACTACGCTGCATCTGCTTCACAGTGAACATTATATATTCCCGGACTAGAGTTGATCATTGTGTGTCGGCGTCAGGGTCAACATTTTCCAAATTGGAAAAATTACCTGCAAATTACTTAAACGTGATTATACCGGCAGAATAATGGTCATTTGCAGGCCAGGTGCGAAGTCACCTTTGTGCTCACAAGAACGAGCTATGATGGAAATCGCTCTGCGACACCGCAGCGTTACAGCAGGGCACTATATCAGCATCAAATCATCGTCACCAAGCATTTCAGGTGTTATAGGCTTTAGGGCTACATGCATGACAGCAGAGGGAAGTTAAATAAATGACCTTAAGATGCCTCTACATTCATGCTCCCCGTCTTCATCAAAGCCTCGCAGTCCGCATGGCTCGGGGAGGCCCTCATCCAGCAGTGGATCGATCGAGGGCTTGTTGTAACGTGTCCATTCGAAACCATCTCCAGCGTTTTCTTGGTTCTTTCGGTAAAGTCACGTAGAATGGAAATAATAACATTATTACATGCTTTTATTTTTATTATTTTATTATTTCCATTCTACGTGACTTTACCGAATAAACCAAGACGATGAATCCCTGCAGTCACGAAAGCTTTAAATCGAAACCATCTCCAGCTTTAGACCACATCATCGCCACCAAGTCACAGGGCTCTGGAGGACTCGACAGGCGGTGCCCTGCCTGACTATCTCTCGCCCCTCTGTGCAGGGTGACAGGGGTCAGTGCGGAGCCGCCGGCGAGAAGGGAGACAGGGTGGGTGAGACCCGAGCGGTTAACACGAGAGATGATTTGCGCTGATAAGAGTGTTTACACCAACATACACATGTATCAACAAACATACACATGTACAACCATAGCCACGTGCAAACTATACAGATGTACAACAAAGGCAATGATAAAGATCCCCCGTGTAGCCTTAACAGACTGTCGGGGCAAGCGCTGTTAGCGAGCACCTATGAAGGCCGGCATGGCGCACGAGGGGGTGGGTGGCCAGCACCACGCCCGACCGCCTTTGTCTCTCGAGTGGCGATGTTTACACATCTCACCAGGTACTCATTTTAGGCTGATTCGACCTAGGGGAGACCCAGGACCGGTTGAGATAATCGTCACTGGTGATAGCCATGAGCGGGAATCGAACTCGGGTCGCAGGAGTTTTTTTAAAATGAAAACAACTCAACACATTTGTCAAGAACACCGCATCCTTCATAATATATATATAACCTGCAACGTTTCAGGCGATGGCCCTTCTTCATAGCACATGAGCAAAGGCCAGAGAGAGAGAGTGGATTATAAAAGTTGTAGATTGCACTTTGCACCATGGGGCCTGATGGGAATGAAGTGTGAAAACAGTTTCCTGATTACCAGTTTTTAAATAGGTGTTTGAATAGTGACCTGGTAGTTAACTAATTAGTCCCAGAAAAAAGTTTTCAATAATCAAAAAGTATTACTATATAAAATCTGTTGGTATGAAAAGTGAAAAAATACATATGTACATATGCACAAACATACACACGTTTGCATGGTTCCACATGCATATGTTGGAACAAGTATATATTTGTGTAACTATGCTTATCAATGTACTGGAATCATATTTACACAGGCGTATGCATCTACAATCTCATACGTAATGTACACGCATTGAACTGGTATGCACGCATGTGTAACTCTTGCACATATTTGTAACGGGAACGTATTTACACAAAACATGTACATACACAGAATACAACATTTGAACGCCGCGGTGGCGAGATGTTAACTACCTTGCCTGATATATAGGAGGTTATGGGTTCGATCCCAAAGCTGACGGCCAGTATATTTGGAGTTTGCATGTTCACCTCGTGGTCGTGTGGATTTTTCTCCGGTTCCTCCAGTTCTTCCCTCCACATTTCGTAACTTGCTTTTTGATTATTTGGCTGCTATGAATGTCCACATGATAAGCTACTTCATTGGGCCATCATTTGTGGCCAGGTCGCTTCTGAAAAAGAGCTATACAGCTCAGTGAGCCTTACCTGGTACAATGTTAACGAATTTGTTTAGTTTAATTGTATCATTTGACCCGTACATGCAATCATATGCAAGTCATGTAAACTATCATCGTCACACGAGACTTTGCAAATCCACATGAGCGAAAGCGGAGCGCGCGATCACGCCTTGGCAGCTGGACGATGATTGATCACCGCATGCCAATAACCCACTTAACAGACAAATCTTGTTTTGTTCTTCACGCCTGCCAGGGACCAGACGGGCCGAGTGGCCCAAGGGGACCCGAAGGCCCGAAGGTAACGGCGCCGTGCGACGTCACAAAGGCGGCACCCGCGGTTGACGGCCTCCCGTTTGTGTGTGGGGGGTGTTGCGAGCCCTTTGGCGTGATTGTGATGCCCTCGACTAATGTGCCCATCTGACCTTCAGGGGCCTCCAGGACCTTCAGGTGAACAAGGCCTCGAAGGCATCCAGGGACCAAAGGTACGGTTTGGTGCAGGGGTGGGGGGCGGCGGTGGGGCTAATTGAAACATTCCACGCGCTGCCCGGGTGAGATATATTCGGAGCGAAGCGTGTAATTCCTCCAATTGTCATGGTCCACGGGCCACTGAGCGTTGCCGCCGCGGTGGCCAGATGTTATCTCCCTCGCCTGGTATGGAGGAGGTCGTGGGTTCAATCCCAACCCTGACGCCTGCTGTATATTTGGAGTTGGTATGTCTCTTTCCCCGTGATGGCGTGCATTTTTGTCCGGCTCCTCCGGTATTTCCCGCCATGTTTAGAATCAACACGCGTTTAAGAGTATTTGGCTGATATAAAGTTCCACGTGATAAGATGCTTCGTTGAGCTATCATTTGTGGCCAGGTCGCTTGTGAAAAAGTCCTACATAGCTCGGTGGGCCTTACCTGGTAAATAAAGTAAAAATAAAGCAAAGAGCCTGCAACCGTGATCGTTTAGCTGCATACCGACTGCCCGGCCAGGGTTATGACATTTTTTTCTGAACGAGGTTTGTTCAGTTGGCTTCATAATGCGGCCTCTTATTCTCTGCAAAAGGTCAACATAATGAGCTTGCTGGCCAGCTCTGCGTCCAAAACTAGAAATATAGAACCGTCGTTGTTAGCCGCAAAGAATGTGAGAATCGGAGAGAATGCAGAGATGTGCTGAGAGAACAAATGTCGGATGAGACAACATTTGATGTTACCAGAATATTTACCGGGTCCGCTGGTAGACTGGAGAAGTATGTGCCGCGTGAACAGTAGTCAGAGCCATTGCAGCGAGAGGTACACTGGATACGGTGTCCTGGGTACAGACATGTCTTCTGCGTCTCTAACCCATACAGACCCGGTTGGAATTAAACCACGCCGTGGTATACAATGTGCGAGAAACATACGTGGTACAAGGGAGACCTCGGCAAAGCGCTTATCAGCTCTGCAACTTACTTTACGCATTTCTTTACTTCACACGCGGGCTCTTCTTGAAGCGTCGTCCGTAAAACATTGACTCTAAAGCAACGGCGCCGTAATTATGGCATTACTGTCGCGGTCACGTGCGCCACGGAGAGATAACGGGCGGGGAAATCTGACAGCTTACGAATGTTGGCTCCTCATCAAACCACCGGCAGCAGTGGGTTAGTACGCAGGTGTCCGGTTGGCACGCACGTCTGGAATGCTCGGAAAACGGCCGTGACCGGTTTATTAAATTAACGAGCGGCTTGCGGGCCCTCCCTCTGATCGCTGCTTCCCACGGCGGGTGTGGTGCGGTCGGGTAGACGACGGGTAGAAGCTCGGGCTCGGTGCGTCAGACGCGTGCGTGCGTGCGACGCTGCAGATGCTGACAGCTGTTCGTCGGGCAGGCGTGGCCGCGCGTGCCCGGGCCTTTTCCATTCAGCAACAAGAAAAAAAGGCAACTTTTACACGCGTCCGATGGAATTTTAATGCCCGCAGTAGGGCCACCCGTAGGTGGGAGCACAAAAGTGGCAATTTTTGACCCAGGACTTCACACAAAAGAGGGCACCCACAACGGGGCCGTGCGTGTTTTTTTTTGTTGCCTGTCGCTAATGAATTAGGGGGCTGCACGTGACACTCTGCCTTGGGACTCCAAGAACAGTCCGTGTGGCACAGTTATTTGAAGTGGATAGTTATCGTTTATGATGGGGATTATTTCTCCAAAGAGGTTGTCGAGCAGCATTATTATCGATGGTTGAGTTATTATTGAGCCAACTGAAAGTGTTGCAAATAATGATTGGGGTAAATATGTTTTGGCAGCGGCGATCAATGTTGTGAATATATACCAGTTTCGCTTTGGACAGATTTAGTGACCTTTTTTTGAAAAATCTTATGATGGACTCAAGCACGTGTCGCTTGACATACATTACAGTGGTAGTACAGCAGCAGCAGTCCTTTATTTATTCAGTGAAACCGTATTGAGCCTCAGCACTCTTTCTCAGCAAGGGGCCTGCATTGGGATCTATGGACAAGCCGTTACTTTTTTATATTATGCTATTGTCGATCACCATTCTACTCCTTTGGCTGCTGCTGCTGAAACAGATTCTGCTGCTGATGACCATTCTTCTATTGCTGCTGGTGATAAAGACAATGCAGCATCTGATGCTGCTGCAAATTCTGCTGCTGCTGCTGCTGATGATGACCATTATTATTTTGCTGCTGGTGATTAAGCCAATGCTGCATCTGCTTCTGCTGCTGCTCCTACAGCCGCTGAAAATGATGTTGACGCTGATAATGATATTGGGTGTCTGACTGTGCACGGTGGAGGCTTGTGTGCAACACAGTGACAGTAAAAGGGCCAAATGCGGTGTCTGTGCTGCCGCTCCTATTAACCGGTCTACGCCGCAGATGGCCTTGGGCTGTGGCTGACTTGTCTCGCTCTCCGTGGCTGCGGCGATGTTTTTACTGTGCTTTGGGTTGGATTTCACCTGTCAAACAAACCAAATTGGTGAAAGTTTTTTTTCTTTCTGTTTCTTCTGAATAGCTGTCTGGACGTTTCTGTCAGCCTCAGTATGCGCGCTAAAAAAAACGACAGCTACCAGTGAATTAACAGATTAGGTTGTTGAAAAATAGAAGTATTGTTTTTTTGAGCTTATTTACACAGCATACATCCAGGCATTCCTCGTACAGATGGACGGGCATTCATTCCTCCCTGGGAGATGCTGCCCCTATGACGAATGTGGAAATGACATGCGAGCGACACGCGGGCAGGGGATCCTAACGAAGGCACCGCCGACGAGAAATGCGCATCAGGTCGCGTCGCTCACGCCAGGACTACTCTACGATGTTGTCCGCTCTCGTTGTCTCTCTCTCTCTCTCAGTTTCAGCATTGGGAATTGTCGCAACGTCTTGTTTCTGCTGTGGGCTCGGTGATAACGAAGAGTTGTCAAGCAAAGGGGTGCACGATGCACATTTCGCTGCCTTTCTCTTACAAAAGGAATGACGCTTCGTGCTCATGCCGAGTGTTGCGATGGGGCAGTCGTTGTCGTTTCACGCGGAGGCAGGGCTGTTATTGACGAATGTGTTGGGTCATTTTTTTTGGTTATTTGTGCTCATGCACCACTGCCAACGCACGATCACCAAATGTTTATTTTTCATTTACAATTCAAAGATTGACTTTAGAGTTAAAATGTGGTTTGTAGCAAGGTGCACATTCGATGCTCAGAAACGTAATTTTTATTTCCACCATCAACAGCCAGGGTCAATCCACCTGTGGCACCAAGGCCTCCCCACGTTCTTCCCATCCCTCGCGGCATTGAGATTCCACGATCCATCTCACTCCTGCACCCCGAGCTAATGTTATCTTTCCATCTCCCTGGTGATCTGTCATTCCATCACCTGTCTTGTCCTTTGACCATCATCCCTTCTAGCCATGCCAAAGCCTGCCGCTTACGTCGCTTGACAGTCAATACGATGTCTCTGATTGACATTGTTCCCTGAACAACGCGTCCATATTTAGGTTTCTCGATGCGATTCCCAACGTTCATCATTACGTCATCCCCTGTGTACTTTTACACTTCTTCCGTTGTTCTTCGCGGATTATCTTTCATTCACTTTTATCGCTTTTGGTTTTTAACGCGTAAAAGTTTTGCCAATCTTCGAATGGCTGCCTGGGCGCGATGAGATTTACACTCCTGTCGTTCGCGTTTTAGTGCCTTCGTTGGCATGGAGGCACAGACTGAGCCGTCTCCTGTGTCTGCGTCGACGTAAATAAAACAAAAACAAAACCATTCTAAAAGCTTGAGAATGATTTAAGTTGGCAACGTTATTTACGACAGCGTCCAGACTTCGGACTGTCAGCAGCGGGGGAGTTTTTATTCTCTTTTGCATTTTTTTTAAACCGTGTCCTGGAAACGCGTTCGTGAGAGCGTTGGCGTCGGTGGCTTTATACTTGGTCCCTGAAACTCGCGCTGCCGCCGTAGCAGCTGCTCAGTTTCAATGCCACCCCGCAGATACTCTGGTTTGCATGACAAGCGTCTTCCTCTGTAGGGGCAACATCTGAAGATAAGATGCATCGGCTATCGTTGTTCCGAAAGCATGTTTTGTCCACAATAATTGGCACGTTATTTTCGACCGCGATATTGCAGAGTTAAGTCACCTGCACGATACGAGCTGCCATAGTTTGTACGCGTAAAGCCGTCACTGAAAGTCACATTCTTTATTGTAATCATCGTTGGTGCAAACAAATAATGCACAAATTAACCTGATAAAGAACTGCCAGACTTTGCAGAACGTCTGACATTTGCACAACTCGCAGACACAAATACATTAGTATCGCGTGACAGAATTCCAGATTCATATCCCGCTGTCGCGGCGACGGCAGAAGTTGTGCCTTCAGATTAAGTTTGTCCGGACAACCGTGTTCACGAACGACGCAGCATCAGTGGCAACCACAGGAAGTGGGGCCAGGGAGGAGGGGGCGGGTTTGGCAGTTCCCCCCTCAGTAAAGGCCAAGGACGCCTCGGAGGGGGCATTTCGCACTGGGCTTCCAAAGACATTTCACCGGACCCTGGTGGCCATTGAAATCCACATCAGATTTCAGAAAATGTATTCCTCTGTTTCCAAAAAGTAGCTCCGATAAGGCACTGCGTGGTCAGTGACATCGACACGAATACTCCTCGAACAGCAGAGCCGATGAAAATGCTCCATTGCCAGTTGTGTTCCCAGGTTTGTCCAACTTTACTTTATTAATGATCGTTTTGTCATTTGGGAGATTTTCTCCGTCCAAATGATGTGTCCTGGTTGCTTTTTTATTTGTAGCTCAGAGATGGCGACCCGAGATGAGATGTGTCCCTGCGGCGTGATGGTGGCACAGGCTGGGAATCCCCAGGGAATGTCGCGGCTCTGGAAACACACCGGCCAATGTTTGCGGTCTCTGACGCCACAACGCCGCCTTTTGTCCGTCGCCTAACTCGAGGACATGTGGACGCGGAGCAGGTCTTGTGAGAAAAGCGAGTTCATTGTCAATTACCCTGGACCGGTGGGCATCTGGGTGCTTCGCGGGTCACTCGGCTTGACTTGCGGCAGAGTCGGTCAGGGCACTCGCCCTGGTGCGGCACAATGAATTATTGCGACTTGAACAGCTGAATGCAATAAAATTACGAGAGCCGTATTGCAAGTGTTTGTTTTACAGTCTATCATATTTTGTACAAATGAAACTATAGTTAGCCGGCAGCGAGCATGACTGCACGCTCTGAGAGCTTATCTCTGTGTGCAACAATGAGCGGCATTGAAACGCGCCGTTTGGAGTGTCTGTCCGGAACGCAGAGCAGATTTCTGCGATTTTTTTCTGCGACTCGCGCGTCTGAAAACGGGTCACGAGATGGCAAAGCTCACTGGGCTGTCTGACCTACAGTACGACGGCCTGGCGCGTAAATATCCCAGCGTGCCTCTGCGACTCTGAATGTGCTGAAAGCGGTCCTTTAAAATTTAAAACATAAGGTGCATTGTGGCGGTTAACAAAATTCCCTTTCACGGGATTTGTTGTGCCGTGCGGGGGTGGAATTCATGACACATGCCAGGCAAATAAGTATGCAGGAGATGAACACTCTCACGGTGACACAGTGTAGTGCGGCTGAGATTATAGGCAAGGGCGGTGGGAGCCGTGGGGGGGGGGGGGGACAGAACGGGCTGTGTGCGCGCACAGAAAAGGGCTGTAGTAGCCCCAGGCTACTGATTCAGATGGCAAAAGCTGCCATGTTTTGTTTCAAATTAACCAGTTGATTCCTGCTTTTCAGTTTGAAAGGCGGGAATCAATAATAATTTCAGCTTGTAAAACGCACAGTACTCGCTCGCTCTCGAAGAGAGAGAGAAAACAACTTAGAGACGAGATCGGGAACCGATGACGAGCGGTAAGGAGCAACGTCATTATCCGGCACCAATCATTGTCTAAGCTCTGCTTGCTATGTTTGGAGACAAAAAATATAATTCGTGATAAATTATCTACCTTCTGTTGCGATTAACATGGCTGTGAACTTCGCTCACCAATTGCACAACCCACGCAAGAGGGCCAAGGTCTAGCAGGCTGATCGCTTTGTCTCACCCACGACTTTGTTTGACCACCGCCACACCGCGGCTCACGTCGCTTTCTGCTTCTTTGCTCGCACCGCTTGCCTTGGGAGTTCCCTCCCATCGTCTCTTTTCCCAAAATGCTCGTATCCTAGATCCATTGAAGAAACGTACGGATTCTCATTATGTTTTACTATCAGTTGCGTTATTTGTTGCTGACTGTTTGGCGTCTTAGGTGTTTGGGCCTGAGTTCAGCCACAGTGGTAAAATAAATAATGAAGGTTTTAAAAACAATGGGAATATTCCTTTTTAAATGTGAATACATTGGTATTAGGTAAAACGCTGTATTCATTGTCATGGGGCATCGTGGGAGAATTAAAATATCTTAAAACAAATATTAGTATTTTTAGGTAGCGACAGATTGGAGCCCGGCTTACATTTTCTTGAAGCATCTGCGTGCTCATATACAACTACTCAGCTCTTGAGCAGCATGGCAGTGTCATAACTTTGCACGTGTGTGCGTGCGCGTGTGTGTATGCATGGGGAGCGGTGGCGCCGTGATTAGTGCACTGCGCTACGAACCCAGCGACCCGAGTTCAATTCCCGCTCACAACCAATAACAATGTCGCATTTTTAACCGATCCTGGGCCTCCCCTAGGTCGACTCAGCCTTAAATTAGTACCTGATGCGGTGTGTAAACATCAGCACTGGGGAGACAAAGTCGGCCAGGCGTGGTGTTGTCGACCCATAACCTCGTGCGCCGTGCCAGCCTTTAATAGGTGCTCGCCAACAACGCTTGCCCCAACAGTCTGTTAAGGCTATGTGGGGGATCTTTGTCTTTGCATGTGCCGGACAGGGAGAGAGGGGCTTGCCTGGCCCTCCAGGTGTGCAGGGGGAGGCGGGCATTGGACACCCAGGACCTAAGGTAAGCAGGCCTTCACCGCGTGACAGCAGAGGCCAGGGAGCAGCTCCGCGCGACCTGGCTGCCCCAGAGAGACGGCGATGACGTCTTCGCTCCAGTGCCGGATTATCCTCGTCGCAAAACTAGCATTTATAGCTATACATGTAGCTACACGTGCTACGGGCCCCGCACTTTCATGGGCCCCGCGCTAAACGCTTTCAAGCTGTCAATTCCGGTTCAGTGATTCTGCACTTGCTCTAATACTATAGTACTATACTGCTTTAAACTTTTATGAACTAATGTGTGTTTAAGGTTAGCGATTTGTGGTATTATCCGGCTGTATTGCAAATGAAAAAATACAATTACTTTACCATGCAAGTTAAAATAGCGTGTTTTAATATTTATGTTTTTTTTTATTTAGGGCCTCTTTATAACATATACTACCGACCCCGCACTAGCTTAATCCGGCATTGATTCGCCCGCAAGAGCAACGCGCAGACACGCAATACCTCACTGTCAGAAACGTTTCCTACGCAGCCATCGCTGTTCGTGGAGAAAGTACGCTTCTTGCAGAATACGTTTTTTTACGAGTGTTTCTCAATGTTCTTTAAAAAAATTTACTTCGTACAATTGGTTCTCGTCCCCCACCACCCACAAACGCCCGCATTCGCCCAGGAAGCAGAGCAGAAAGATTTAAAGTTATAGCCAGAAGCGTTTATTGGATTAGAGAGACAGAGCTTAATAAGAGGCACCCACAGGCACGGGCGGTCTTCTTGCTTTTCAGCCAAATTCTGATCGCTAAAGCCTCGGTGCACATCGGTGTTTCATGCAAAAAAATACTAATCGGTGTTAACACTTTGTTATTGTGCTGTTCGACAGTGCTGAGCCCATCTGTGCCTTTGGGGCAGTCCATAAATGACGTCACGCGATTTTGGACGATTTTGACCCCCCCCCCCCTCGTCACACGGCGTCACAAAAATCAGACCCCCCCCTCAAATATGACGTCACAAACCTCTCCCCCCCCGCCCCAAAAAAAATAAAACATACTTCAAATCGCTTTAAACTATTGTCATTGTAGTGCGTATTTAATTTGCCGCTGCATTCTGATGTTGTAGGAGAAATATTTATCAAAAAGTCTATTTAATTAAGTAGAACGTGTTGTTTATATTTATTTAAAATTGCACATTTTGAAGTGACGTCACATTTCTCAACCCCCCCCCCCCCCTTCGTCACACATCGTCACAAATGTCTCACCCCCCCCCCCCCCCCAGGTGCGTGACGTAATTTATGTACGTCCCCTTTTAGACGTTTACTTTTGCTCGGTTGCAACTTCAAGAGATGCCAATACAATGGAGATCAAAAGAGAGGCTCGCACGGGCAAAACCGCGTCGAGCCTCGGGTCACGAGTGGCGATTTCAAAGCCGAGTTCTTTCGCAGCGCCAACCGGCATCACCACTCGGCACGCGTTCGGATCGTTTGAGGGACGAGATTCCTGGCGACTCTCGCTTTTACCGTTCATCGAGATTCGCGGCACCGCTTCAGAACCGTCACCGGTGATGCGTTCGTTGCCCGCAACCATCCCGGTGGGAGGTCTCCGTTTGGCTTTCATAAATCACGAGCAAAAATACCCCTCCTCGGCCGTGTGTGGGCTTCGTGCCGGCTGTCACAGAATGTGCAAGATTCACGGGTTTCATTGCGAGTGGGAGTCAGGAGCAACACGCGTGTGCCTACGAGTGTCAGTGTGTGTGGGGAGCTGTTAGTGTAGCGGTGAGCGCGCTGCGCTACGAACCCGGCGATCCCGCTCACGGCCAGCACCAATGACGATTACCTGAACCGGGCATGGGCCACCCCTGGGTCGACTCAGCCTAAAATGAGTGCCTAGTGCGATGTGTAAACATAGCCACTGGGGAGACAAAGGCGGCGGTTCTGGCTAGCCAGCCCCCTCGTGAACCGTATTGGCCTTCATAGGTGTTCGCTAACAGCACTTGCCCCAACAGTCTGTTAAGGCTACACGGGGGATCGTTGTCTTTGGTGCTGGTGGTGCAGGCGGTGGTGATGATATCGCTCACCTTCTGTACTCTTTCATCATGCGGACCATCCCTTACCGGTTCGCTAACAGCACTTTCCCCAACAGTCTGTTAAGGCTTTGTTTGTAAGTCCGTGCGTGCGAGACGTGGTGGCGTAGTGGTGAACGCACCGAGCCGAGTTCAATTCCCGGTCATGGCAAACCACAGTGAACAAATATCTGAACTGGTCCTGAGACTTGCCGAGGTCGAACCGGCCTCATTGTTGAGCACCTGGTGAAGTGTGTGAACGTTCAGCGCTGGGAAGACAAAGACGGCCAGGCGTGGTGCTAGTCACAGCGTCCCCTCGTGCGTCTTGCCAGCCTTAATAGATGCTCGCTGACGGCACCTTGCCTCGAGAGTCTGTTGAAGCTCTCCGATGCGTTTTCTAGACTGTTCCGCGTGTGGTTCGGCACGATGTCCGACGTTTCGCTCCGCGTGATGGAAGAACCTTCTCGAGGAACCCCGCTGGGTTTGTGGTTCAATGGAAACAAAGAAAGCTCCTTTGGCGCAACCGCGTGGACCTACCTACGCAGCGGGCCCCACAGACTCTTCTAGGGCAGTGGTTCTTCACGTCTACTGCGGCCTTAGACCCTATTTGCTTCTCAATCCTAAAAAAAATTAATGTTAATAAATACATAGGGTGTGATGAAACGAAGTTGTTGTACTTATTTTTTTTTACCTTCTAAAAAAAAAATCTGCCCATGTCTCGCACCCCCAAAAAGGGCATCTCGCACCCCTAGAGGGTGCAGCGTGCACGCCAGGTGAAGAAGAAGCACCGCTCCAAGGGAATCCGCGTCTCTGTGTGTGTGTGCGTGTGGGCGTCTTGTGCGCATTTCCTAGGGCGACTTTGGTTTCCCAGGCAGAGCCGGACCTGCGGGCCCCGCTGGGATCGGTGAACCTGGGCTACCGGTGAGGCAGCGCAGGCACGGCGAGAGGCCACACCGCACCGCACTCACGCACTCCGGCACGGCCGTCTTTATTCGCACGCGTGTTGCTCCAGAAGACCGACAACGGCCCGGTCGTAAGTTAATAATAACGTGCAATCGTCGGAGTGACAGGCCAAGAAGTGGTATCTCCAAAATGATTTTGACGAACATTACATGCGCGTGTGTCTTGTCTGTGTGTGTTGTGTGCATTGAGTAGCCTGGCACAAGCACTTTGGGGATGTCACCGCCACTTAGTGGCGAATGGCGGTTGTCGATGTTGTTGTTTATGTGAAGGCAGTGGTGGCACTGTGGCTCGTGCAACGGTGCCTTGATCCCTCGCAACATGGGTTTGGTTTCTGGCCATGAATGACATCAGTAGCCAACCTGTCTCAACTCGACCGTAAATGAACACGTGGTGCAGTGTGTACGCATCAGCTGTGCGGAGACAAAGGCGGATGGGCGTGGTTCGAGTCGGACCATCCCCTCGTGTGCACCGACCTTCATAACAGCCCTGACATCCTTGAACAAGCAACACGGGAGGGGGGTCTTTAACATGTATGTTGTATGTTATTTGTATGAACGTGCGCCTGCGTTGCCCGTCTGTGCTGTTCAGGGTGCACCAGGACCTCAGGGACAGCCGGGCGAGAGAGGCCTCGCAGGGGAAGGGTTTCAGGGCGCCAAGGTTCGGGTCGCACGATGCGCCGCGTCACACACACTCAACAAAGACAAAGATCCCCCGTGTAGCCTCAATAGACTGTTGGGGCAAGTGCTGTTAGCGAGCAGCACCTATGCAGGCCGGCACGGCACACGACGGGGTGGGTGGCCAGAACCATGCCCGACCGCCTTTGTCTCCCCAGTGGCGATGTTCTAAAGCACCGCACCAGGTACTCATTTAAGGATGAGCCGACCGAGGGGAGGCCCAGGACCAGTTCAGATAATGAATCGTCACTGGTGTTGTTGGTCGCGAGCGGGAATCGAATCCAGATCGCCGGGTTGGTAGTGCAGCACGCGAACCGCTACACCACCGCCGCCCCACACACACGCGCACGTGATTACCCTCTCAACAACCTCTACCTCGTTCTACACACGTGATAACCCTCTCAACAACCTCTGTCTCGTTCTACACACGTGATAACCCTCTCAACAACCTCTACCTCGTTCTACACACGTGATAACCCTCTCAACAACCTCTGTCTCGTTCTACACACGTGATAACCCTCTCAACAACCTCTGTCTCGTTCTACACACGTGATAACCCTCTCAACAACCTCGTTCTCGTTCTACACACGTTATAACCCTCTCAACAACCTCTGTCTCGTTCTACACACGTGATAACCCTCTCAACAACCTCTGTCTCGTTCTACACACGTGATAACCCTCTCAACAACCTCTGTCTCGTTCTACACACGTGATAACCCTCTCAACAACCTCTGTCTCGTTCTACACACGTGATAACCCTCTCAACAACCTCTGTCTCGTTCTACACACGTGATAACCCTCTCAACAACCTCTGTCTCGTTCTACACACGTGATAACCCTCTCAACAACCTCTGTCTCGTTCTACACACGTGATAACCCTCTCAACAACCTCTGTCTCGTTCTACACACGTGATAACCCTCTCAACAATCTCTGTCTCGTTCTACACACGTGATAACCCTCTCAACAACCTCTGTCTCGTTCTACACACGTGATAACCCTCTCAACAACCTCGTTCTCGTTCTACACACGTGATAACCCTCTCAACAACCTCTGTCTCGTTCTACACACGTGATAACCCTCTCGTGATAACCCTCTCAACAACTCTGTCTCGTTCTACACACGTGATAACCCTCTCAACAACCTCTGTCTCGTTCTACACACGTGATAACCCTCTCAACAACCTCTGTCTCGTTCTACACACGTGATAACCCTCTCAACAACCTCTGTCTCGTTCTACACACGTGATAACCCTCTCAACAACCTCTGTCTCGTTCTACACACGTGATAACCCTCTCAACAACCTCTGTCTCGTTCTACACACGTGATAACCCTCTCAACAACCTCTGTCTCGTTCTACACACGTGATAACCCTCTCAACAACCTCTGTCTCGTTCTACACACGTGATAACCCTCTCAACAATCTCTGTCTCGTTCTACACACGTGATAACCCTCTCAACAACCTCTGTCTCGTTCTACACACGTGATAACCCTCTCAACAACCTCGTTCTCGTTCTACACACGTGATAACCCTCTCAACAACCTCTGTCTCGTTCTACACACGTGATAACCCTCTCAACAACCTCTGTCTCGTTCTACACACGTGATAACCCTCTCAACAACCTCTGTCTCGTTCTACACACGTGATAACCCTCTCAACAACCTCTGTCTCGTTCTACACACGTGATAACCCTCTCAACAACCTCTGTCTCGTTCTACACACGTGATAACCCTCTCAACAATCTCTGTCTCGTTCTACACACGTGATAACCCTCTCAACAACCTCTGTCTCGTTCTACACACGTGATAACCCTCTCAACAACCTCGTTCTCGTTCTACACACGTGATAACCCTCTCAACAACCTCTGTCTCGTTCTACACACGTGATAACCCTCTCAACAACCTCGTTCTCGTTCTACACACGTGATAACCCTCTCAACAATCTCTGTCTCGTTCTACACACGTGATAACCCTCTCAACAACCTCTGTCTCGTTCTACACACGTGATAACCCTCTCAACAACCTCGTTCTCGTTCTACACACGTGATAACCCTCTCAACAACCTCTGTCTCGTTCTACACACGTGATAACCCTCTCAACAACCTCGTTCTCGTTCTACACACGTGATAACCCTCTCAACAACCTCTGTCTCGTTCTACACACGTGATAACCCTCTCAACAACCTCTGTCTCGTTCTACACACGTGATAACCCTCTCAACAACCTCTGTCTCGTTCTACACACGTGATAACCCTCTCAACAACCTCTGTCTCGTTCTACACACGTGATAACTCTCTCAACAACCTCTGTCTCGTTCTACACACGTGATAACCCTCTCAACAACCTCTGTCTCGTTCTACACACGTGATAACCCTCTCAACAACCTCTGTCTCGTTCTACACACGTGATAACCCTCTCAACAATCTCTGTCTCGTTCTACACACGTGATAACCCTCTCAACAACCTCTGTCTCGTTCTACACACGTGATAACCCTCTCAACAACCTCGTTCTCGTTCTACACACGTGATAACCCTCTCAACAACCTCTGTCTCGTTCTACACACGTGATAACCCTCTCAACAACCTCTGTCTCGTTCTACACACGTGATAACCCTCTCAACAACCTCTGTCTCGTTCTACACACGTGATAACCCTCTCAACAACCTCTGTCTCGTTCTACACACGTGATAACCCTCTCAACAACCTCTGTCTCGTTCTACACACGTGATAACCCTCTCAACAATCTCTGTCTCGTTCTACACACGTGATAACCCTCTCAACAACCTCTGTCTCGTTCTACACACGTGATAACCCTCTCATCAACCTCGTTCTCGTTCTACACACGTGATAACCCTCTCAACAACCTCTGTCTCGTTCTACACACGTGATAACCCTCTCAACAACCTCGTTCTCGTTCTACACACGTGATAACCCTCTCAACAATCTCTGTCTCGTTCTACACACGTGATAACCCTCTCAACAACCTCTGTCTCGTTCTACACACGTGATAACCCTCTCAACAACCTCGTTCTCGTTCTACACACGTGATAACCCTCTCAACAACCTCTGTCTCGTTCTACACACGTGATAACCCTCTCAACAACCTCGTTCTCGTTCTACACACGTGATAACCCTCTCAACAACCTCTGTCTCGTTCTACACACGTGATAACCCTCTCAACAACCTCTGTCTCGTTCTACACACGTGATAACCCTCTCAACAACCTCTGTCTCGTTCTACACACGTGATAACCCTCTCAACAACCTCTGTCTCGTTCTACACACGTGATAACCCTCTCAACAACCTCGTTCTCGTTCTACACACGTGATAATCCTCTCAACAACCTCGTTCTCGTTCTACACACGTGATAACCCTCTCAACAACCTCTGTCTCGTTCTACACACGTGATAACCCTCTCAACAACCTCTGTCTCGTTCTACACACGTGATAACCCTCTCAACAACCTCGTTCTCGTTCTACACACGTGATAACCCTCTCAACAACCTCGTTCTCGTTCTACACACGTGATAACCCTCTCAACAACCTCTGTCTCGTTCTACACACGTGATAACCCTCTCAACAACCTCTGTCTCGTTCTACACACGTGATAACCCTCTCAACAACCTCTGTCTTGTTCTACACACGTGATAACCCTCTCAACAACCTCTGTCTCGTTCTACACACGTGATAACCCTCTCAACAACCTCGTTCTCGTTCTACACACGTGATAACCCTCTCAACAACCTCTGTCTCGTTCTACACACGTGATAACCCTCTCAACAACCTCGTTCTCGTTCTACACAAGTGATAACCCTCTCAACAACCTCTGTCTCGTTCTACACACGTGATAACCCTCTCAACAACCTCTGTCTCGTTCTACGCACGTGATAACCCTCTCAACAACCTCTGTCTCGTTCTACACACGTGATAACCCTCTCAACAACCTCTGTCTCGTTCTACACACGTGATAACCCTCTCAACAACCTCTGTCTCGTTCTACACACGTGATAACCCTCTCAACAACCTCTGTCTCGTTCTACACACGTGATAACCCTCTCAACAACCTCTGTCTCGTTCTACACACGTGATAACCCTCTCAACAACCTCTGTCTCGTTCTACGCACGTGATAACCCTCTCAACAACCTCGTTCTCGTTCTACGCACGTGATAACCCTCTCAACAACCTCGTTCTCGTTCTACACACGTGATAACCCTCTCAACAACCTCTGTCTCGTTCTACGCACGTGATAACCCTCTCAACAACCTCGTTCTCGTTCTACACACGTGATAACCCTCTCAACAACCTCTGTCTCGTTCTACACACGTGATAACCCTCTCAACAACCTCTGTCTCGTTCTACACACGTGATAACCCTCTCAACAACCTCTGTCTCGTTCTACACACGTGATAACCCTCTCAACAACCTCTGTCTCGTTCTACACACGTGATAACCCTCTCAACAACCTCTGTCTCGTTCTACACACGTGATAACCCTCTCAACAACCTCTGTCTCGTTCTACGCACGTGATAACCCTCTCAACAACCTCGTTCTCGTTCTACGCACGTGATAACCCTCTCAACAACCTCGTTCTTGTTCTACGCACGTGATAACCCTCTCAACAACCTCGTTCTCGTTCTACACACGTGATAACCCTCTCAACAACCTCTGTCTCGTTCTACGCACGTGATAACCCTCTCAACAACCTCGTTCTCGTTCTACGCACGTGATAACCCTCTCAACAACCTCGTTCTCGTTCTACACACGTGATAACCCTCTCAACAACCTCTGTCTCGTTCTACGCACGTGATAACCCTCTCAACAACCTCGTTCTCGTTCTACACACGTGATAACCCTCTCAACAACCTCGTTCTCGTTCTACGCACGTGATAACCCTCTCAACAACCTCTGTCTCGTTCTACACACGTGATAACCCTCTCAACAACCTCGTTCTCGTTCTACACACGTGATAACCCTCTCAACAACCTCTGTCTCGTTCTACACACGTGATAACCCTCTCAACAACCTCTGTCTCGTTCTACACACGTGATAACCCTCTCAACAACCTCTGTCTCGTTCTACACACGTGATAACCCTTTCAACAACCTCTGTCTCGTTCTACGCACGTGATAACCCTCTCAACAACCTCTGTCTCGTTCTACGCACGTGATAACCCTCTCAACAACCTCTGTCTCGTTCTACACACGTGATAACCCTCTCAACAACCTCGTTCTCGTTCTACACACGTGATAAACCCTCTCAATAACCTCGTTCTCGTTCTACACACGTGATAACCCTCTCAACAACCTCTGTCTCGTTCTACGCACGTGAACCCCGGACATCCTCGCAACAGCAGCAGCGGCTTTTATCTGCGAGCCGTCAAACAAAGACGGTGGCCACCGCATCGCGATGCGCGTTCAGACGCGCTTCTGCGGCCGTCTGGAACGCTCCTCCTTCCGATATTAGGAAGCCACTGGAGCTATGCACTTTTAAATGTAAATTGAAAACTCATTTCTTGAGAATTGCTTTTTTGCGTTTAGTTTATTGTCCTTCCCCGACACCTCCGATTAGCACGGTTGGCTACATACGGTGCGAAAGAAGTTCAACATACATACCTTATGCACAACTTGAAAATGAAAAACTCTCCGGTGTGGGACTGTGGTCATCCAGAACACACCGTACTACACGTGACGATCTGATGGCCGCTCCTCAAATACGAAGAAGACCATCGCTGCGCTCCACTGCCGCTGCTCCTGACGCGGTTTTCTGGCGTGACCAACTGAATGTGACATTGTAGTGGTTGCCTTGCATCTACAGCAGTCACACGAAATAGATGTTTTTTTATCTCACAAATACGATACAATAGCAGAGAGAGAGAGAGAGACAAAGAAAACGGCGAGAGACAGAGAGTGGGAAGACAAGACGGGGCAAGATCATGAAGCAGAAATCAGATCGAAACATGTTCGCAAAGTGGCAACGCGAATGCATTTTTCACTTTTATCCTCGTGTCGCAGGACGGAGCCGAGGGATTTTGGACGCTGCGGGTTCAGGGGCTTGAGTCGCGTGTTTCCCTGTGCTTTGGGTGGTGGTTTTACACCTGCTCCACCAATTTATTAATTTCCTGTAGGAATCTCCCTGCTAATTAGCCTGGGATCACGCACTGCCATGTTACGTTTCATCGGTTGATCAATCTCAACCAACACTCACTTTCGAAGACAGCCGTAATTTCTCCCATAAACATACGGCGCCTTCATAACAATAAACGGTGCGCGTTGTGTGAGCATCTATTGGCGTTGTGGTGTTTACCAACTCTGAAACTGATGGCATTGAGTCAATTTAATTATTAAATGCATAGTTTATAAGTCTCGTCTTAAACATCAGAATTCAAATGCTAATGAAAATTACCAAACAAACAAAAACATCTCAATTACTGAAAATCGGCGATGACGCAAGCCCAGTGGTAGCTCGTTTGTTGCAGAGTTATCGCAGTTCGAATCCGGCAGGCCACCCTGGTTATTGCTGCGGGTATTTTTTATACAAACACTACGCGCCACTTGTTTCACAGTGGATGTTAAAAGGTGCCCCGACATCATTCGAGGCGAGCAGTCCCTTGTGTGCCTCCGTTCAAGGTCCAACTTCGGCAAATTGAAGGGAAAAAACGCAAATTACTCAAATGGGATTTTAAACGGAGCGAATTGGCCCCCGATTGCAAAATTACTGCAGACTTACGTCCGTGATTCACGACGCTCGCACTACAGCCCTGCGCTATGAGAACGGCGCTAATACCAAACGTGCCCAAATTATTATTATTATTATTATCATCTCCTGTTTGTTACTTGTCCACGTTTGACCCACAGGTAATATGGGCCATCATCACTGTGACAGTCCAAGCGGAGAGAGTGAGAGTGGTTGGCTCGTTGCCAGCAGGACTTGACTCTCTGCCGGGGCTTGTCGGCACAAATATGTCATTAGACCACCAAATCCCACTGAATTTCGTCTCAACTTGTCGGATCTCGGAAACTAAGCAAGGGAGAGCCTGGCTACTACTTGGAAAGGGGAATTTCCTCGGCATTCCCGGTGTTGTGCCCATGACTAAATTACCCGGAATTTTGCGGCCGATTTCATAGCATCTCAGAAGCTGAGCTGGGCTTTGGGCTTGATCCTGGCTGCCGCTTCGGATGGGTGACCGCCATGCATAGCAGGTGTTATAGTATGTGGCGCTATGTTGTGGCCAGCAGAGGGCAGTGCAGCAACATTTAATGTTGTATCATATTTCTGTGCCTCCACATATACATATATGTACTCGCTGCCTCAAGCAACACGCACTGAACCGGCGTGGTGAATTGTGATTCGGTGTAAGGCCAAAGTTGTACAGTATACGGATGAGCTATTTTTTTCTAAGCGAACAAAGTACCGGTTTGGTTCGAGATGATGTGACATGAATTGTGTGATGACTGCGTAGGGAGACCGAGGGAACGATGGCCCACGGGGCCCCTTGGGGCCGGCGGGTTTCGGACAAAAGGGCGACAAGGTGAACACCGTCTCTCGATTCCTCCGCCAACACTCGCCGGGGAACACGCCATTCCTCCCACTCATTGTTTATAATATTCGTTAATTTTCTCTGATGTCTGTCTGGTCTTAGATGTTAGCTACCTCGTCTGGTATGCAGGAGGTCGGGGGTTTTATCCCGTGTGTATTCGGAGTTTGTGTGTTCTCCCCGTGGTCGCGTGGATATTTTTTTCGGGTCCTCCGGTTTTTCCTTCCACATTTAAAATCAACATCACGCGTTTAGAGTATTTGGCTGATATAAATGTCCACATGATAAGCCACTTGGTTGAGCTCTCAATTGTGACCAGGTCGCTTCTGAAAAAGAGCTACATAGATCAGTGGACCTTACCTGTTAAAATAATAAAAAAAAAGTTAAACATACTGCGCATTAACCCAAAGCATACATCGGAGAGAGTCCTCCAATGCAACTGTGAAAATCGTCCGGCTGTAATCAAGTCCGACTAGAGCGACACGGTTGTGATTTGGTCTGACCGTGTCGTTTTGTCGGCACGAGTGTACGTGCGAGCGCGCCTACATGTCCCCGTCGATGTGCTGTGCGTTGATCGATGCTCTGCTGTCACCCAGGGGGAGCTGGGGTTTCCCGGACCTGCAGGATCCACGGGGCTGTCAGGCAAAGGTCTTCCAGGGGACAAGGTAGCGGTCGCCTCCCTTTGAGGGCACTGTCAAACATTGCCGAGCGTTGACGTCTCTTTATGGAGATGAATAACAGCGGTCGTCTGCATTTGTTAATGTCGGCGTCTGTTTTTGACTTGCATTCTTCAGTCTGGTGCAACCTGTACTATGTTGTCTCTTGCAAGGGAGATCAAGGCCCCAGGGGCTTGCCGGGCCCAAGAGGTCCTCCTGGTGAAGGCATTCCTGGACCCAAGGTATCAATAATTTCACCGCAAATGACGATCACTCTACATGCATGACAACACCGCACCTACGATTAGCGCGGCTGGCTACGTATGGTGCGAAAGAAGTTCAACATACTAAATCTAAACTCGTGTTATTTTACCAGGTAAGGCGCACTGAGATATATATAGCTCTTTTTCAGCAGCATCTAAGCCACAAATGATAGCTCAATGAAGTGGCTTATCATGTGGACATTTTTAGTAGTCAAATACTCTCAGCGCATGTTTGTAAATGTGGAGGTAAAAACCAGAGGACCCGGAGAAAAATCCACGCGATCATGGGGAGAACATGCAATTGCAAATGTACAGGCATCAGGGGTCAGGATCAAACCGATGACCTCCTGTATACCAGGCGAGGGAGTTAACATCTCGCCACCGTGGGGTAAAGAGGTGGTACTGTAATCCCACCTCTTCAAGACGTTTGGCCACCGTGGAAGGGTGAGGCTCAATACCCTCAGGATGGACTCTCTGTAGCTCTATCTTGTCAAAGTCCTTCCAGCAGCAGTAGGAGTGAGCCAGACATTGCAGGGCTGCGCTTTCACCGTTAACCCTTAACTCTGTGATATTCCAATGCTATGCTTGGGACATTAAGGGAAGGGCGCTGTGGGATGGTTGTGTTTTCTGGCGAAAGTGAGCGGCGCGTGGAAGGGTTTGCCCCGGCGATGTTGCCCCCGCAGGGGATCCAAGGCCTGCGGGGAGACCTGGGACCATCCGGCATCGGCCTGGAGGGCCCGACGGGCCCAAAGGTGAGCGGCACCTGCCTCGTGTCACTTCTCCCCCGCAACATCCCACCGCCTGTTTCTCACCCTCTCTGTCTGGCTGTTGGGCAGCGGGCTTCGCTACACTCCCGATTGGAGCCAGCGGCAAAGCCGGAGCTTGCATTTCAGTCGCGATGCGGTTTTTGCCCATCCGGTCACCGTCCAGGCTCAACTCTGCTTCGATCACGAGATCCGGTTGATTTGGTCATTCAACAGGCTGGGAATCTCTATACGTACGGGATGTAATATATCATAACGTGACGGCTTCCGGGGCTCTAAAAGCCGAGACCCCCAATGAACTGGGGGACTCTAAACCCCCAATACCTAACACCAGTTTGCATTCATCAACGCACTGTGCAGTTGCCCCAGAGGAGTAGTTGTTGAGTGTGCAGGCGGTGCAACTGCGCCGTGGCTTGCGGGGCCGGGTGAGACCCAAGGCGCCGGGCTCTAAAGAGAGGGCGGCAAGGGGACCCTCAAATTTAAATCCTGAAATCAGGGGGCCGTACAGCCGACGCCACTGGATGGCGCTGTAGTCGCAGCCAAAGCTTGTGCCCAGCAAAGTGCGAGCCCCGACCTCGTAAATGATGCCGTGGAAAGACTCCACATCATCACACATCGCCCGATCGGGAGGAGACCGGTAAATAAATGACGAGGAGATCGTTCATCGTCCGTCTCTCTTTCACTCGCCTTCTGTTGGTTGTGTGCTCTGCGTCAACACAACACCGCGCGTCACGGGGAACGTTTTTATCTGAGGCCAGTGGGAGGTCGCTCATTCACCTCCACTGCCCTCGCGGTCTGGAACTCCCTTCACCTCAATCGTCCGCCCCGCATGTGCTGTCCAGCCTCAAAATCATCCCTTATCTCCTCTGCCTATGACTGACTGCCTCGCGAGAAAATAAACATTCCCACCCACGGCTTCTACAGAGGTGCCTCTTCATACGCGGGCTTATTTTAGATGCTATAAAAATCCAAAATTGTGTTGTCGTAAAACATTCCTTTAGCATTTATTCAATCTAATAAACCCAGGGCCAGGAGACAAAAACCAGGATCGGCGTGGGAGAGTCGGATTGGGGAGTGGGGGGGGTGTGCCCCCCTTATGATGCCACGTTGAGATACTCTTAGTTTTTTCGGTAAAGTCACGTAGGTAAAAAATGAAATAAAAATTAATAAAAATAAAATAATAAAAATCACGACGTTTCGGAGGCAACACAAGTCTCCGTCATCAGGTGGGACCGTCACAGCCAGTTTTGCTGTATCAAGTGATCTGGCTGTGACGTTCCCACCTGATGACGGGGACTTGTGTTGCCTCCGAAACGTCGTGATTTTTATTATTTTATTTTTATTAAATTTAATTTCATTTTTTACCTACGTAACTTTACCGAATAAACTAAGAGTATGAATCCTTGCAGTCACGAAAGCTTCAAATCTAGAATTAATACGTTGAGATGATGTTTCCGTTGCGACGTGGCAGGGAGAACTGGGATCTCCCGGCCTCAGCGGGTTGCCTGGGCAGCGTGGAGACGATGGCGCTGACGGGCAGAAGGTACGCAGCAGCGGCGGCGCCACGGTCACCGACGGTGGAAATCGAATTCCAAGTGAAACGGCTCGTTATGGGGCCTCCTTTGCTCGTACCAAAATATGAGAATATGTTTTCCCATTTTTTTCTGGCGTCCTCTGGTCTAACACCGTTTGAGACGAGGCTCCAAAGAAAGCTGTCTCTGGTGTGGACCAATCCGTTTCAAAGACAATGCCATCATATTATCAGAGTATGTTTTTTTTTTGCATTCTGACCACAAGTATTGTGGTTAATGCAGACATGATTCCTTGTAAGAGCTTTCAGTTTGGTGTTTTAACATCTTAACACCTTTTTTGTTGCCAAAAAAAAGGGAAAAACCTCTTCTCATGAAACGGCTCGGTAGCAGGAAGGGCGAGAGGGCACGTTGTTAGGGGACTGAGCACACTGACCTGCCAGACCCCAACAACAACTGACCCCTGACCCTATCTCCACCTCTTAGCTGCACCTCTGGACCCCGTTTCTCCCTCGATCGAATTTGACGTTCGGTCTTCGCGTCGCCCTTTCTGATCACCCCGCGGTCCAAAGCACATCCATCTCACCGCCATTAAAGGCCTTTGTCTCGGCTACGCATTGATTTTGTACAACGAGCCGATCCTTTGTCCTGCGGGTCCTGCAATTTCTCTTCCCGTGGCCTGGTGATTTAATTAAATTGTGCAACGCGTAAGTGCGATCATCGTGGGAATTCACTTCCGACTGTAAAGCACTGTGCGTGGTGGTCTCGAGTGGCCGAGCGGTGAATGCAATTGAAGTTCCCTTGGTTGTGTTGCCTCATCAGGAAGCGTCGCTAACGGGGGGAAAACCCCATTCCATTTGCACCACATTGCAACCCACGAATAAGTTTGATTCCCCGCCACGGCCAGCGTCAATAGCGAGCGATATTTAAATCGGCGCAAGACGGCTGCGGTGAAGTATGGTCGAACAACCCCCACCACCGACGTGGCAAGGGGAGGCCTTCATCAAATAGCTGTAAATTGGCAAATGGTTCTAAATGATGATGAATCATTACGTCAATACAAAATGTTACAACTCATTAGGCATAGGTTTTATAACCATTACGTAATACTTGTAAGACATGAAGCTTAATAATTAAATAATGTGCTAACCATTGTGCAACTTTGACTCCATTAGGAGTACAGTACATCAAATAAAAAAAATCTCAACACTGCCGCAATTTTTTTTTAAATATCAAAGGCGAAATTTCGGGCAGTGTCCCTTCTTCATAGGACGTAGGAACAAGCAGCAATAATTGGTAAGGATGCATTATTGGTGTGTAGTAATGCGCGCTATTCAGTGTGTGCGGGTTGTGTTGGGATGTCGGTGGTCACGCGGTGGACGCTTTGCTGCACCCCGCCCCACGTGCCCCACGGGACGCTCGGACCACCGCTGTCCCGCAAGGCCCCCCACAGTCCCACAAGGCCCCCCGCTGTCCCACAAGGCCCCCATTGTCCCACAAGGCCCCACGCTGTCCCGCAAGGCCCCCCCCCCTCCCCCCGTGGGAAGTGTGCCGCAGAATTGTTGCACCGCTGTCACAAAACACGAAACATGTTTAAACTATGGGACCTTTTTTGTGCCACGGTCAAAGTGATGAAACAAACAATTCATAAGAGTTACGTAGGTATACCTATACCTACGTGACTTTACCGAAAGAACCAAAGAGTATAGATTCCTGCAGTCACGAAAATTTAAAATCAAAATTAATAAGAGGTTTTATCCTCTCTGGCAATGAAACGGCCTTCTTTCCCGGCTGGTGAAAGTGCAGAAGAAAGCTGTCTCTGGTGTCGGCGAATCGGTTTCAAAGACAAGGCATTTTTTTTTTTATCAGAGCATGAATGTTTTCAAGTTTTGCTACAAGTACGTGTGGTCAATGCAGACTTGATACCCTGCAAAAGTTATCTATTTTGTGTTTGAACATTTAACTCCTGTTTTATTTCCAGAAAGGAAAACACCCTTTTTTTTCATTATTTTTAATGCTTGCAGAAAAGGTCCCATAGATATAACTGCTCGACCCGATATATAAATGCTTTGGTATGTGCATTGTCTTTGTACTGTCCGCCTTTTGCTCTAACACGGGTAGTGAGACAAGGCCATAAAGAAGGCTGTCTCTGGGGTAGGCCAATCGGTTTCAAAGACAACGCAAATATTTTCAGAGCATGTTTTTCTGTTTGCATGTTTTGCCACAAGTATCTGTGATTAATGCAGACTTGATGCCTTGCAAGATGTTTCTACTTGGTGTTTGATCACAACGCCTCCTGTTTTATTGCTAGAACGGGGCAAACGCCTGTTTCTTTTTATGCATTTTCTTCACCAGATGTTTAACTGCGAAAAATATGTCGAGGGTGTTTGGCAGTGAAAGCAACGTGGGTGGGGTGTGTGGGTGGTGTATCCACGTGGAGCTTTAACCCGGCCGGCTGCCCTGCGCCCCCTGCTGGCGAGAGGCCGGGAGCCCTCGCCTGTTTTGGTCCGAGCTGGAACGTTGATCATGGGGACGGTGTCAACATAATACATTCCTCCTGCGGAGGAAGCTGGTAGGAACGTTGGGTTGCTCGGTCAATGGCCAGGGTCAACGGCGGCGTGGTGTATTCCGCAAATATGCCCGATTGTGAGGGCGGGCACAAGCCGGCGTGAGTAGGTTAAACGTTGAGTTATATAAGGGCACCACGGGGTGACCAGACCCTCCCCACCCAGCCCCTCCCCAACCTCCCCACCCAGCCCCTCCCCACCCTCCCCACCCAGCCCCTCCCCACCCTGCCCTCCCCACCCAGCCCCTCCCTCCCCACCCAGCCCCTCCCTGCACGATGGACGGACGGACACAATAATCCCCTGTGGGCTGGTGTAACCAGGAGGTTCCTACCAGTATAAGAATAGGTTTAACCCTCTCTGGCAATGAAACAGTTGAGTTAAAATGGTAAAACACCAAAACTGAAACCTTTTGCATGGAATAGAGTTACTGCATTAACCTCGTGTACTTGTGATGAACACGCAGACAAAAACATGCTCTGGTCTCACACTGTTTGAGACTAGGCTCTAAACAAAGCTGTCTCTGGTGTGGACCAATCCGTTTCAAAGACAATGCATATATTATTATCAGAGTATGTTTTTTGTTTGCATTCTGACCACAAGCATATGTGGTTAATGCAGACATGATTCCTTGCAAGAGGTTTCAGTTTTGGTGTTTTAACATCGTAACAACTGTTTTGTTGCCAGAAAGGGTAAAACCTATTCTTATATCTGGAACATTGAGTTCACAAGAACAGCCTCCCCTCCCCCCCCCCCATAAAAAAAAAACAATCCGCCTTGTTGTGAAAGATCCAACGCAGAAGAGCTCTGGTTTTGATCTTCCACGAACCCCCACGGTCCACCCTAAGCCACATCCGCACAAACCATGCCAGCAGATGCGGATACCTGATGCACGAATGGAGAAATTGAATACTCCCCCAGTGCACGACTGCGGCCACCCAGAACAGATCCTACAATAACGACGCAATGCCCGATCAGCGCGGTGTGCTACGTGTGGTGCGAAAGAAGTTCAACGCACATTCTAGCGATACACTGCTCCGTCGCTCCTGACGCGGCTATCTAGCTTGACCACCTGAATGTGTAGTTGTCACCTGTTGCTCTGCAACTACATCAGCAGCCAGAAGAAGCGCGCATTGGCTTTCACGATGAGACGAGCGTGTATCTTTGTTGTGGGGAGTTCGATTTTCGCTCATGGTCAACACCGGTGACGATTATCTGAAGCGGTCGTGGGCCTTCCCTACGTCGACTCGGCCTCAAATGAGTACCTGGTGCGGTGTGCAAACATCGCCACTCGGGAGTCAAAGGCGGCAGGGCGTGGTGCTGGCCACCCACACCCTCGTGTGCCATGCCACCTTTCATAGGTGTTCGCTAACAGCGCTTGCCCCAAAGGTCTCTTCAGGCTATATAGGGGTGGATCTTTGTCGATGCAGTATATAAATGGAAAGCACATTTACCACAAATTGTGACTTACAGAGGAAGTTGTTTATTCCTTATTTTATCTGCACAGCTTAAGTCAAACCAACGGTCCTTTGTCGTGGTCTTCGGTGCGTCGTCGTTGGGAATTCCGTGGCTGTTTTCACGTCTGTGTCCATGCAGGGAGAGACTGGTTTGGCTGGGCCCCGCGGGCCAGACGGGCCACCAGGGATTGGCCTGCAAGGGGAAAAGGCACGTGGTGACTCCATACGTGTTCCTGGGTCGTACCACACGATGTTCGGGGTGATGTCCGACGTTTTGTTCCACGTGCCGGAAGCTTCTTCCGGGAACTGAATTAGACGTGAAAACGGTTCCTGACGAAGCTCCCAGTAGACTGGTCGAAACGTCAAACATCGTGCCGAACGGCACGCGGTGATGTGACGGTTAATTTTGTGCAGTCATTGGTGATGGGACTGAGTCCATCTCATTTCATCGCGCGAGACTCACACAGAGAAACATAGACTAGCATAGACTCACACAGAGACCCATAGACTAACATAGACTCACACAGAGACCCATAGACTAACATAGCCTCACAGAGAGCCATAGACTAACATACTCACACAGAGACCCATAGACTCACATAGACTTACACAGAGACCCATCGACCAACATAGACTCACACAGAGACCCATAGACTAACAGACTCACACAGAGACCCATAGACTTACATAGACTCACAAACGGACCCATTGACTATTATAGACTCACACAAAGAACCACAGACTCACACACATACAGCATGGAAACAGCAGCCGTCTATAATGTGCACAGCAGCATCCTCCACATCACCGCAGTTGCTCTCGATCCAACAATCGTTTCATTCAGTGCAGCATTGAAGCGCACGTCTGCACGTTGCCCTCTCGCTGGCTCGCAGTGTGATCGTGAATCGTTCTTCACTCGCAGGGAGACCATGGACCAAGGGGACAAAAGGGCTTTCCAGGCAGCCCAGGCCCGGTGGGAGTCACGGGGCCCAAGGTGAGCCGCGATCGTTGCACGGAGGCCACCGTGAGCCGCACACACGCAGCTGCTGTCTACCTGTCTGGTTGACACGTGATGTATGCATGTATGTACGTTGAACTTCTTTCGCACCGTACGTAGCCAAGCTTGCTAATCGGAGGTGCGGGGGAAGGACAACAAACACAGAGCAGTTCTAAAGGAATGAGTTTTCAATCTAGATTTAAAAGTGCAAAGCTCCCGTGGCTTCTTAATATCGGAAGGAAGAGCGTTCCAGACGGCCGCAGAAGGGCACCTGAGAGCGCGCGATGCGGTGACCGTCTTTTGTTCGATGGCCGGCCAAAAGCCGCTGTGATGATGACCGGAGTTCGCGTGGTGATGGTTTATGCTCCTTGACGCGATCAGCAAGGTGTTGTGGTTCATTTGTGGCAAGCATTTTGTGTGTAATGAGCGCGACCGTATAATGTATTTATGTTTTCTGTAAGTGGTTCGTAACCTTTATTTTATTCATCATTACGTTCTCTGTATTTTATTCCAAGATTTTATCCCGATTGTGATATCGCCGTCATGCCATGCAACGACGAATCCATTCGACTCCCCCAAAACAGCGCAATCGTCTACGTTAGAGAATGGTCCCACAGAAGTGTATATCACAGAACTAATTCTAAGATCACATTAAGTGGCCCGCTGGCCCTCACATGAGAGGCCAGTGGCACTTTCACAAATGCTTGCCACAAAGACTATTGATCCTCGAACGATAGTCAGTCACACTGGAAATGTTGTATTATCAGAGCTGGTAGTTATACAAATTAAATGTCGTCATCGGTGATTGTGCTGAGACCATTAAATCGCCACGCTTGAGGACTTTAAGAGGTCAAAGCCCACTGAGATAACGGGTGCCTTTTACAAGAAAGGCCTAGGGGTATAACGAGGATGAATAGGGCACAGGAAAGCAAGTGCTACAGCAAATTAGAACAGTGCAACATTTTATGCTCGACTCAGTACCTCATGGCTTTACATCAAATCTACATGCAACTGCATCTCAACGCGCTTTACAGACACAGCGGTGGGCATAGTTAATCTACTTCATTTATCAGTTGATGATAAATATGCCCTCTTCCAATGTAATTCTGTGGAGCTGATGGGTCCACGCTTAAATGATTGTTAAAATTGTGTACTCTTACGTTTGGGGCCTGTCAGTGTTGGTTTTGAGCCATGTCACAGGTTGTCGAGATTTTGCTGATTACTGGGCTCTCTGTAAAGGGCTGCTGATCATTAGGGTTGCCACTTCTTCAGGCACAAAAAACCTGGACATATCATGGGCAAGAAGTTCTCACAATCCCAGAATAGGGGACAACTCCATGTAAATAAGTATTTTTTTTTATTGGGATTTTTAATATTTAGTGTCATGGGAAGATTGAGAGTTTTTACAGGACAGCTACCTCCCAAAAAAAAGAGGTTGCTCCTGGAAAACCAGGACAGGTAGCAAAGCCCAGCATATATGTGTTGCACGATTTTACACATTATGTTCACCGAGTTGCTGTGTGTGGTGGTGGCACAGGGCCAGCCAGGGCTGCCGGGGGTCGTCGGCTTGCCAGGACCCGCGGGCCACGGCATCGTGGGCCCAAAGGTAAGGCCCAAGTTCGTGAGTGTCGGCGGGTTGATCCTGTTGCCTTCACAGCACCGCCGGGATGCTCTGCGTGACCCGCACACTGTGTCGCTGCCCCCCTTCGCTGAACACACAAACACGCCGACAAAGACCCCCGATAGCCTGAAAGGGACTGTTGAGGCAAGTGCTGCTAGCGGGCACCTATTCGGGCCGCTGTGGTGCACGAGGTGACCGTGTGGCCAGAACTATGCCTGGAAAACCTTCATCTTCCCAGTGGCGATGTTTACACACCGCGCCAAATATTAATGGCTGATTCGACCAAGGGGAGGTCCAGGACTGGTGTTAATATCATTCGCCACCGATGTTAGCCATGGCCGGAAATTAAATTTAGGTTGAGGGTTTCTAAGGGAAGTTTTTGTTTTACCTATACGCCACCACCTATAGCCACCCATAATTTTGGCTAATTTCCCTGTCGGCGGTAATGGAGGCATCTGCCCAGTTTTCCTCAACGAACACCGTCAACATGAGATTCGGCCCCGAGCAATGAAAATCAATGAGTGGAAAAAGAACTGAGAAGGCCATACGCAGCTATGGGGTGGAGCATATAGTTAGGAGGCAGATACAATCGCAACCAAAATCTAGGCCTACCCCTCACCATGAAAAAAACTAGACAACCATTCAAAAATACTAGGCTAAACTCACCATAACCATAGCCGGGCAGTCATGAGCACTTTTGCTGCTGCAATTCTATTTTTGCATAATTATGGCAACATGCTCAGGTAGCTGAATGCCAATGTCGAGGTCTGCTCACCACTAGAGTGCTTCAGGAGAGAGTTCGTGTCGTGTTGCTGTTCCTCCTCCGTCCAAGGGGCACAGACTACAGTGGTTGACTACATGGTCCATAGATTTTGGTGACGTGACCACAGTTCCTGTCACTGACACTCAACGGTAACCCCACCCTTGGCACTTTGCCAAGCACCGTTTTTGTATTTTGTTTGCTCTTCACTTTTGTAAGTTACAGTGCCTCTATTTGTATATTTGCTATCCCCAGTTCGAGAGTTGCACGCAAATCTCGGTCACAGTCTTATACTTTTGGCTAAATGCACTCCAGCACAATGTCAATATTCCACGCCCAATGATGATGCACTGTGCTTAGTTGATATTGTTTAACCAGGTGAGAGAAACCAAGAGACCAGGATTAGTCTCATGTGCAAAGAGTGACCTGGTCATCAACAAATTGCAATAAATAAATAAATAGCAAGGACAATTAAAAACCACGCGATCACATTCACCGCATCATGCTTCATTGCACTTTGAGGCAGGCTCATGCAATGCAACAATTTGGGCACTACAGATGCACTACACGAGTGACAGGTTGATATTTGTTTGTGTTACCTGGATATCTTCTGTTCACCAGTGGCGGCTCGTGACATGTCCACTAGGTGGGGTTGTTTTGAGTGACCTCTGACAATGTGGTGTGCTAAGTAAGAAAAGCAGCTCGTCATGTTATTGGCCTTCCCGTGAAAGTGCTATAACTGTCTTATCTACCGACGGTAGGCATTTATAAACAATACGAAACAAAAGAACAAAGCACTAAAATGCTGTCCCAATGACCCTCAAGTCCACACTACACAACCCCTTTGACGCTGCCACAAGCCGTCACCTGCTCTACTTGCACGGTGCAACCTCGCGTCGTGACACCGTCGCCTCTTTACAGCCATGGGCGACTTTCTCACCGCCCTGAATGGGTCTCAAACGGCGTGGCTACAATGCTAGAAGGTCGTCGCAACGAATGAAGGGAAATCTCTCACTCGGAGGACGCCTTCACAGCCGCCCCGAGCCGAGACCTCCCCAAGGCTCAAATCAGACCGTGGCGTTGCAGCGGTTTCTAATATAAACGACTTAAAATGTTATCGTCATTAGGCAATTCACGTTGAAATAATCATATTTTACTTTTTTTAAACACAAATTTTTTTTATGGAAAAGTATATTTTATTAGAAAAATAATTTCTCATCTCCATCCGCTTGGATCCCATACTTACTATCAGCTCAATTCTGGAAAATACGACTGTACCTTCATGCGTAGCTTTTGTAATCTGTGAAATAATATTTACTTCAGTGGCAATCGAAGTGATCCATAGCTCTCACAGGCCAATGCCGATATATTGTTTAATCGTGGAAATGATGCAAACTATGAACAAGGTTTAAACAGCTCCACTGAGATTGCATGAAAATGTAACAACATACAAATCTAAAGCGAGACAGCCAAGGACATGCTTTGAACAAAATGAGTCACAATGATATTACTAAATATTTTCCAATAATATTATTTGTGAAATTAAGGCATTGGTGTTCCAACGCCCCGAGTGGACGAGCCGCGCCTGGCGTCCACCAGGGGGTCACATGACACACAGCAAACACGTCATAGCACCTGTACAGACACGTTTAAACCCAAAATATATACACCATATACAATTATGCAAAGGCGTACATCTATTTATACAGCCTGAAGAACAGGCACACGACAGCACACATAAACATCACAACGCAGTTACATAAACATCACCCCGCAGTTACACACGTGCGTCACACTGCGGTCAAGCACATGAACAATACACCGCAGTAACATGCATGAGCATTGCGTCACAGCCACACTTGAACACATCACCGCAATCACACGCACATTTGAATATCATACCAAAGGCACACACACATGAACATCATACTGCAATCAAGCATGTAATACATGGTGCACACAGCAGGTTCATAAACAATTTCTCCAGCTGTAACAGTTACAAATGTCGTGCAAGTGTGTGTTTAATTCAGGGTTTCAATCAGGAGAGACTCGTGGAATGATTCCGTGTGTCTGGGGATCTCGGTTCCGTGGCTAGCCAAAAGCCGATCACGAGGATGATCAGAGTTTGCGTGATTGTTTATGCTCCTTGACGCGATCAGCAAGGTATCGTGGTTCATTTGTAATGATTGCTACCTTATGTATTTATGTTTCCCGTAAGTGGTTCGATAGCCTATATTTGAATCATTACGTTTTCTGTGTTTTTTACACGATTTTATCCCGATTGTGATATCGCCATCGTGTCAATCAACGACGAACCCATTCGACCCCCACCCCCTTCCAGAGCAGCGGAATCGTCTACGTTCGACAACAGTCCCGCATAACTGGATATCACAGAACAAATTTGAAATCCCAACAAGTCTCCGTCTATATTCTTGGTTCTTTCGATAAAGTCACGTAGAAGGGAAATAATAAAATTATAAAACAATAAAAATATAAAACTATAAAAATTCTCACGATGTTTCGACTGCAACACAAGCAATCCACACTGTGGATTTCACACCTGATGATGATTGCTTGTGTTGCAGTCGAAACGTCGTGAGAATTTTTATTGTTTTATATTTATATTATTTTATTATTTCCCTTCTAAGTGACTTTACCGAAAGAACCAAGAATATGAATCCCTGCAGTCACGAAAGCTTTAAATCAAAATAAAAAAAGTCTCCGTCTGTCTGGGGATCTGGGTGTGAGCGAGAGGTGTGTGCTTTGTTTGTGATGTTTTGTATTTTTCAGGGCGAGCCCGGCCCTGCTGGACCTCAGGGGCTCATAGGTGAGATCGGGATTGGCCTGCAGGGACCAAAGGTGTGTTGACTGCCTTGTTAAATACACCCTGGGAGAGCCCAAGGGGTGGGGTGATGGACTTCTGAAGATAAGCCAAGCAGACAAGTGTTTATTGTTCAGGCCCTTTTGTCAATACACTGCTGCATGAAGGCCCTCCCACACAAGATTTCGGTCACGGGGCTTTGTTATGACCATACTTCACCACAGTGGCATAGCGTGGTTGGCATGGGCCCTGGTGCAAGGAATGAAATGGGGGGCCACCTGTAGAGCTTTTGGAGCCTGGTGGCTGGGCCCCTTCCTGCCCGTGTCCCCCCCCCCTCCTTCCCGGTGCATTTGCACCAACTGCGTGCTCTATAGCTACGCCACTGCTTCACCATCTTGGTCAGAGTGTGTATGTACGTGTGTTGAACTTCTTTCACACCGTACGTAGCCAACCGTGTTCATCAGAGGGTGCGGGGAAAGGACAACAAGAAATTAGTTTTCAAATTAGACACAAAAGGGAGAGCATTCCAGTCGGAACGCAGAAGCGCATCTAAAAGCGCGCGATGCGGTGACCGTGTAGTGGGCGGGGGGGGGGGGGAGTCCTCGTCACTGATGTTAGCCACGGCTGAGATTTAAACTCCATTCACCGCCAGGTTCATTGTGGAGTGCACTCACCACTGCACCCCTGATCCCCCATGCTGCCCACTATCCGTGTAAGCCCTCTCTCAGAGCCAAGGCTCGCTTCTCACGGCATCAGAACGCATGACCCGTGGCCTGCGTCCGTGAACGCTGTGGGTGGCGTGCCACCGTTCGATCATTGATCAGAATTATTTTCCAGGGCAAGTGCCCCAGTGTGACTTTGAGCCTTAGGCATTCTGAGCCGGTCGCATGATCGCTCATCCTTGAAGTGAGTTATTGCATTGTCGAAAGTTGACCACTGTGATGCACCCTGCATGCGAACTGGTGTTTTTGCAGGGGGAGAGAGGATTCCCAGGTGCGATCGGACCCCAAGGCGGCAAGGGAGAGGGCTACCCAGGCCCCCAGGTGAGTGCAGCCATTTCACATCCATTGAAATCACGAGCCGAGCGTGGGAGATTCTCACCTGCCTAACGCAGACCTCGTGAAATTTCACCCTTAATCAGAGGCGGGGTGTGGCGAGATGTTAACTATCGTGCCTGGTATACAGGAGGTTGTGAGTTCGATCCCTGACCTTAACGCCTATATATTTGGAGTTTGCATGTTCTACCCGTGGTCATGTGGATTTTTCTCTGGGACCTCCGGCTTGTCCTCTTCACATTTAAAATCAAAATGCGCTTAGCGTATTTGGCTGCTCTACATTTCCACATGATAAGCCACTTCGTCGAGCTATTATTTGTGGCCAGGTCCGTTCATGAAAAAGAGTTAGATAGCTCAGTGGGCCTTACCTGGTAAAAATAAAAAAAAATGTAATAGTGGTCGGCATGGGCCTTGTTGCAAAGGATGAAGTCGGGGCCCATTTTGCAATTGTTCTCAGCGCCCTGGCGCGCTAGTGCAGTTGCACCGCCTGCTGTACCACTCACTCGACAGCAATGCCGCCGCTCTCTGTCGCGACATGGAAACAATGCTTGGGAGAGCAACGTGATCGCAGTCACGTTCTAATGGTGCTGATCTTACCAACAGTGAATACATAAATTTGCTCGGCAAAACCATTTCACCTGACTCGTCGTCACAAATTTGGCTTAGGGGATCTCCCTTTTTATTTTTTCCTCACCGGTGATCATTTTCTGCTGCTGCTGCTGTACTAAGTGCGAGTTCAGGCCAAAGTTGGAAACTGCGGCTACTTTAGGGCTGGAGCTCCGAGTTCCAACATGACCGTGATGGATAGATTCCAACATTAAGCGGCTTAATGGACTGATGGCTCTCACGCACACCAGTCACTCCGTAACCATCGTTCAGTCACTTCCTTGTTTCTATATTATCGCTGCTACCACGACCGCAATACTCCAATTGATCTCGTAGACTTCACGCCCATCTCGGGGACCCGTTCTACCAGATTGATCACTTCATGTCATCCACACAGTGTTCAACCACTGTACGTACTGCAGGTCAAAACATTTCTCTTCCATCTCCTTCCCTCAGAAAGCTCAACTTTGAATCTCCCTCCCGTCATTCCCCTATCCCAGGTTTCTTGCTCAACAAAACGGAGCGCGGTTACGCTCCAAATCTGCCATACGATCGTCGCTGGCCCTTAGTTTCCGGCTGTGTGCGTTACCGGGCCTTTTATGTCTTGGCTATTAAATCCCCCTCTCCCCATAAAATATACATTTGCACGCGACGTGTATACGTTTGCACGGCGGCTCCTATTTGAATGCGCTTCAGGCGACGCGATGACTGAATGTGTCTCGCGTCGTCGCCGCTGAACCCGATCTCTGTGCTGCCGGCCCTCTTCGACGACTCCCAGGGCCTGCCGGGCCTGCCGGGATTCAGGGGCGAGCCGGGACTCGAAGGCGTCGGGCTGCCCGGTTCAAAGGTGCCGTGCTGTCTTTTTGTTGTTGTTGCAACCTCCAGTGTTTGTCCACTCGTCCGTGCCCTGTATAGCACATGATGCACTTATCAGATAAACACATACGGGGCCCCCGCCCCGCCCAGTCAATGCACTGTTGGATGAAGGCCTCCCTCCATACCTCCACGAGCTGGTCAGTAGGAGAGTGGCCAGGACCTGGTTTAGACATCGTATGCCACTGATGTTGGTCGTGACCGGGAATTGAACTCAAATTTGCCAGGTTGATAGAGCAGTGTGCTCACCACTGCACCGTAGCGCTCTCACCCCTTGCACAGTATGTACATCATGTGAATCTGTACTATGTATTGCTCTTTGTTTGTAGTGGTGCTTAATAACACGTAAATGTACATGGCAACACCTGAGATCCATGCACAGTTTGTGGTACTTCAAAACAAGCGTGACACACCATTCAGTTGGCACCGATCCTTTGATCTCCACCCTTCATCTTTTAATGAAATTATTGGGTGATGCTGCTGCTGCGCCCTCGGCAGTGGTGCACAGTGGACAAAAAACTGAATACAGTCGTCAACAATACTGTGGCCTTAAAAGAAAAACATATATATAAAAGACGACATTTCAGTAATGGCCCTTCTTCATAGCAGAACAATTCTATGATATTTGTTTTGTTCTTTTAAGCCAATATCTTATTTATGAATGCGTTAACTGCCTTTTTTTCATCATACAAACGAGGTACTGTAGGACGAAACGACAAACAATACAAACGTGATGGCAAAAACGGGACGAAAAATGATCGACCCTTGAATTGAATGACGACCCTTGAAATCTGACAGCTCAACGGAGGTGAACCGATCGATGCCTTGGTATATCACAGACGCAAGTCATCGCCTCATACTCCTTCCTTTTCAGGGGGACACAGGGGTTCGGGGATTACCGGGAGGTCGGGGCCCCCCAGGAGAGGGGCAGCCTGGTCCAAAGGTAACACTCGAGGATAACCGCGTTCTCGCATTGTGTGGGTTTTGAATGAACGCTGAAGGTGGGTTTGATTAGATTCTCCAGCATTGTCTGTTTTTGGGAAGTGCCGTACCATGGTTGGCATGGGGCCTCTTCAACACACAACCGGTGTGCTGAACTAGTAACTATTTGGCATGTTTTGTTTACGTGACAAACCTTACTGATTGGCTGTGTCGGGTGGTGGCGGGTTTAACGACACATTTATATTTACGCGATATAACCCCAAAAAATATCTTATTATGCATAATATTGGTCGCTAAAGCCTTCGTTTTAAACTTAATGGGCCCTGATGTAAGGAAATTAAATGCATCCTCTCCCTCTGTTCTACCACTGGCCCCTCATGTCACGTCTCCGCATGTCTATGATGAGTTTCAATGCGTGCGTCTCAAACAACGTAGGCCGAGGCGTCTTGGTGTCACCCGAGCAGGTCACTTGCCCACACACACCCACCAATCACAGCCACCCGACTGCACAACTTGACATTGCCACTCCTCCCGGGTCTCAACAATCTCCCAACGCTCTGGGCAAATGCCGACGTCGTCTGAAGCCGGCACTGCCAGGGCCGCAAGCCAAGAGCCAGCACCTCCCCCACCCCCTCCCACCTTCCCCACTCAACGTAGCCCTTTTCCTGGGCCACTCTGGCCCTGCACGCTCGATAGCTACGTCGCTGAGTTTGGGATGTGATTGCGTTAGTTTGACACATCTCCGCGTGCGTTTGTTCGCCGTGCGCCTGACACAGGGAAACGTCGGCCGGCAGGGCCCACCTGGGCCCCATGGACCGTCTGGGGAGGGCATCCAGGGAGCCAAGGTACACAGCGTCCACAAGCTCCAGTGACTAACCACCACCACCACCTAAGCCACCACCAGCACTGCCGCCACTACAACCACCAGCACCATCACCATCACCACCATCACCGGCACCGCTACCACAATCGTATTAATAATTACCACACAATCACTACAACCGTCGCCGCCACCATCACAACCATCATATGAATAATCGCCACCATCATTACCACTACTGCCACCAAAACTACCACCACTGCCACCAATTCCACCACTGCCAAGTGCTCATATATTATTTACTCCACAGGAAATAATTATGCTGCACCTTCTTTCGTCATAGCCATAAGATTAATTGCCATTTATTTTATTTTACAATGAACGCTGTTCATTATTGCATTTTCATGTTTAAATGTACGCAACATTAAAAATTAATTGAAAACTGCCTCGATGGCCAATATTTGCGCAAAGCGTGGGCCTGTTATTGAAATCTAACGGCGCAGGTCAGAAAGAGCTTGCTCACGCCACTGCTAAGTGGCAGGGTCCCACTAGAGGGAGCTCTATAGACACCCCTCTAGAGGTTAGTTCGGCCTACTCTTCCACTCTGGCTAGACATCTTGGGGAGAGGGCTTTAAGAAACCCACCCCGTTGTTTCTGGCTGCCGCGCCAGGAGATAAAATGGAACCGGCGACCTCTAGGTTGCAAGTCCAGTGTGCTAACCATCACACCATGCCAGCATCTGATATTGATGTTATACACACATATATTTGGGTATTTCGGAGTGGGTTATATGTTTGTTCGAAGGCAGGGTTACTGATAAATGTGTGTGTGTGACGATTGTCTGAACCGGCTCTGGCCCTCCCCGAGGTTGACTCGGCTTCAAATGAGTACCTAGTGCAGTGTATAAACATCAGCACTAAGACAAAGGCGGTCGGGCGTGGTGCTGGCCACCCCACCCCCTCGTGTGCCTTGCCGCCCTTTATAGGTGCTCGCTAACAGCACTTGCCCCAACAGACTGTTAGGGCTACACGCAGGGATTTTTGTTTTAATTTGTGCTTGTCCCCGTGCCGGCTGCTCTCTTAAGGCTCATTCGCTGGGGGTCTTCTCTCTCTCTGTTTCGTACCAGGGGGAGCAGGGATTCCAGGGCCTCCCTGGACCACGCGGGCCCCTCGGGGAGGGTATCCCCGGACCAAAGGTGAGCAGCGTCCTGTGGGTCTGGCCCACGGCATAGACCTGGGTCCGATATTGACCTACGCTGTGACAAATAAACCACATTCCTGCGGAGGGAGCTGGTAGGAACGTTGGGTTGCTCGGTCAATGGCCAGGGTCAACGGCGGCGTGGTGTATTCCGCAAATATGGCCGACTGTGAGGGCGGGCATAAGCCGGCGTGAGTAGGTTAAACGTTGAGTTTTATAAGGGCACCACGGGGTGACCAGCCCCTCTCCACCCAGCCCCACCCCTCCCACCCCCCTCCCAGCCCATCCCTCTCCACCCAGCCCCTCCCCTCCCCACCCAGCTCCTCCCCACCCAGCCCTCTCCACCCAGCCCCACCCCTCCCATTTTTGGATGCACGACGGCCGGACGGACACAATAATCCCCTGTGGGCTGGTGTAACCAGGAGGTTCCTACCAGTATAACCACGATCTGTTTCGCAGTGCAGTGTAGTCAACTGTCAATTAACCAGGGGAATGTAGGGGAGCCTTGGCACAGATACAAATGAAAACACGGGCAATGGGAAACGCATGAAGATGAGACTACAAACCGTGTTTATCGTTTACTTCTGCAGAACGGTGGTGGGGTGGGGAGTGAAGGGTTAGAATGCGTCTCCATGTTATGTTTTGCTTCTTAAAGTAATCGGTTTTCTTGCCACCAACAACATCTCACTTGTGGCCACATGGACACTGAGGCGCTGATCCTCGACGAGTGAGGAACTCGACCAGACCAGCGTGTAAAGATAATACAATTTATGTTTTGCCAGTACGGTTAATCCACAACACGGATAATCTCCCCGTGGTTATTTGAGAGTTAGCTGCATATTCTTTATTAATGAGTGTTCATGGCTAGATTGATAGCATTAACTTTCTTACTGAGGTGTAAGCTGAGCTTTGTGTATTAAATTGCCATAGGATTTAAAATACGTTGTTGAAACAGAATTAGACACCAAACACACACGCACGCAGACAAAGGAAACCCAGGGATGCGCTCTCACTCATCTTGTACTCTGAGCGCAAATCTCAATGGTGACGACCATGACTCAGAGGTTCGTGATGGCCGTGGCAGGGTGATCGAGGGCTGCACGGAGAGAGGGGTCGCAAGGGAGATGCGGGCGACCCCGGGGAGAAGGGCTCCCTCGGTGCTATGGTGAGTGCTCGCATCCCGCACCCATCGTCACGCTTACAACCACGCCGGATCTTTTGGGCTTGTTGCTGTCGGCCTTCGGTCTCGTGTGCTTGTTGTTTGTTTGATCGGATTGTAGCGGAGTACAGTTTGTTTGGCGGTGCTGGCGGTGAGCGGCGTGCATTTGTATTTTACCTGCATTGTTTTTTTTTTACGTGCGTCGTGATATTATCAGATGATTATAAGAAAACAAATGTGCTTGATCCGCGTACATGACGAGCCCGCAAACAATGCGACTCTTTCGCAAACACTGAAGCACGAGGATGACCCCTGGCACGTTCCGTGTCTCAGCGACATGCCCCGGGTCAGCATGCCCGCATCCCGTGAGCCGCGAAGCTTCGTGGACTCGGTCTCCACCTTCTCGACGGGATCGACTGACCAATCCTATTCCATTCTATGGAAATGTGGATCGAATCGGCTTTGTTTGAATGTCATTTTCGACAACATCCAAATTACATGACCGATCCTATTCCATTCCATGGAAATGTGAATCGAATCGGCTTTGTTTGGAATTTAATTTTTGACAACATCCAAATTACATGCTCATACTAAAACAAGATCCACTGGAGCGCACGGCCCCACCTCCCACACACAAACCTGGGCTTTGTTCCAGGTGAGCTATCCCTCAATCAGGTCTCTGCTTGAACCCCGTATGCATATTGGTAGGACAAAGGTACGATTTGTTGGTAAATTGAGAAGCAGAGTATTGTGCTGTACTCGAAACGGTTTATCAATCAGATTTCTCACAAAGTCACCGTGACACAAGCCACCACCCTACTACCGGCTTCGTTGTTATGCCCGTGCGCGCATTGTGGTGTCGCAATGGAGCTGGGTACCCACAAACCTCGAACGACCAAGCCTGCCTGGCTCGGCTTGTGCTGTGGTTATACACAGTCGGGCGTGGTGTGGTTCGTAGCCCAGCGTTTGGACCCATCTAGGCCGTGGGCCACCCAGTGCAGTTGCACCGCCTACACACTCGATGGCCACGTGCGATTTCTACGCTGCAGCCAAAATACCTTTTGGGTTAGTGTGACCCGACTGCCCCGCTTACAGTAGCGCAATAAGGCGCCGTGTGTTGTTTACTCGCTGCAAGCAAGAGAGCTTGAGTGGTTTTTCATATCGGTAAGACGCGGACCATTTAACAACGATTCCCATTGTTGCCTCTCCTTCACCTCCAGGGCAGGGTCGGCCAGAAAGGCGATCCGGCACTGACTGTGAGTACACAAGCCCTTTGCCCATCTGTGCAGCTCGGCCCTAGCCAACGAAACTGCAATCTCGTCGATGAATGTGTTGAGTTGTTGTTGTAATATCAGAGCAGGTTGAAATCTTAACTTCATGCTAAAAAAGATTATACTGCCTAGGTAGCCCCATAGCTTCCTAGCGGGGGGTGGGGGCTGGTGGTACAGGGTAGTTAACTGCTCTTTTCAGGGTCGTCCATTCTATCTGACACCGTGACAGATAAGCGCGTGGCCCCCAAAAGCACGGGGCCCGGGGCAGTCGTCCCAATTCGCCGTATCCTGCCTAAGGACAGCTCTGCCTTGGCTGAAGACTCAGACCTGCTTCTTATAATGTTCCATCTTCATTTGATAAGTAAATTTGGGGCTGGGCGAGATATTATCTCCCTCACCTGGTATGCAGGAAGGCGTTGGTTCGATCCCGACCCTGATGGCTGTATATTTAGATTTTCCATGTCTCTCTCCCTCTGGTCATGTGCATTTTTCTCCAGGTCCTCCGGTTTTCCCTCAACAATTAAAATCACGCGTTTACAGTGCTTAGCTGCTATCCATTTCCACATGATAAGCCACTTCGTTGAGCTATCATTTGTGGCCAGGTCGCTTCTGAAAAACAGTTGTATAGCTGAGTGGGCCTTACCTGGTAAAACATTGAAATATATAATTGTGAGCACAATTAAGCAATGGGTGCCACAGTCCCCTTCTCAAATATACAGGGGAGGGGGGGGGGAGTAAGCACTGCAACAGAGAGCATCATCGACGAAAGATTGGATCGTGACTCATTCTATTCAGCATTTTTCACCGTGCCGTGACACTGATAACGTCACGCTGCAGAGTTGTGCTTCGGTATAAAATAATTAAATCCTCACGCTATTCAAACGGTTATCACGATTCGTGGGACACAATTCGACGCGGAGATCAATTGTTTCGTCCCATTTATACCCGTCTTGTTTGATTTCCATAGTTCAGTATTTTCTGTTTCCTTCGCCTCAAGGTACCGTTAGCGTATACATCTTGGGTGAATTGCCAACAATCGCTCCTTACAAGCTCTAATCCAGTGGTTCCCAGCACGTGGCCCGCACACCACCGCTGTCCGCAAGGCCGTGGCGCGACGTCGCTAGTTGAACTGTTCCATAGACGATTGTCATCACCCAACACAGGACTATTCACTGCGGGGTGGTGCGCCGGGGTTTCTTTTGTTGACGATCGACAGTCGACCACGCACGTGCATCGTGAGCTGAACGATCGATTTCGACAGACGAATCGGTGAACTGACGATGACTCGTCGGCTGGCTGGAGGCTGTTCCCCCCTCACGTTTTGAATTCTATCCAAGTTAATCTGCTAAATCTGTCCCCTGCTGGGTTTTTGTACAATGCCCGTGATTCCCGTGTGTCAGCAGCACTCGTTTATTGAATGAAACATGCCGGGCCATGCTCATTTTGTTCTTTCGTATGGCTGGGCAATTAGCAACGTTACATTGTTGATATCAAAGTTTTTCCGAGCCCGTTGGGTGATGTTGTGAATGAATGTCTGAGACGCTGTCGGAGAGCGAGCGGAAGTGGGCACTGTTTGACAGTGTGTTCCATGGGTAAGACTCTGATAGCCACAGTCAGTTTAGCACGTAAGTAGGCTTTTGCGAACAATACTATTCACAATAAAGGTTTTTGGGTTAAATCGCGCAAATTGAAATGTGGCGTTAAACCATCACCACCACCCGACACATTTGAGAGGTGTGTTGCGTGAACAAGACGTGCTAATTGGTTACTACTTCAGCACACCGGTGTGTTGGAGAGTAAACCCACAGCATTTTCAAATTTAGTTAACGACGTTTCGCTGGTGATTACAACGAGCTTCATCAGGCGATTTGCCAGAATTGTGAAGAAGTATTCCTGCTTCCGGTCTTACAGCGGCAATGCAGACTTGACGGTCACCGCATCGTGCACTTTCAGATGCGCTTCTGCGGCCGTCTGTAACGCTCTACCTTGCGACATTAGGAAGCCACTGAAGCGATGCACCTTTCAATGATTTCGATTGAAATCGATTTTTTTATTAAACTGCTTTTTTGCGTTTAGTTTTGTGTCCTTCCCCCCCACCCCCGCAACTCTAATGAATACAGTTGGCTACATACGGCGCGAAAGAAATTCAATGTACATACATACAAAAACAACAAAGATAAAGATCCCCCGTATGGCCTTAACAGACTGTTGGGGCAAGTGCTGTTTGGGAGCACCTATGAAGGCCAGAGCGGCACACGATGGGGTGGGTGGCCAGCACCATGCCCGACCGTCACTGATGTTGGCCGTGAGCGGGAATCGAACTCGGCTCGTCAGGTTCATTGCGCGTGGCGCTACGAACCTGGCGACTCGAGTTCGATTCCCGCTCACGGCCAACAATATACGTACATCAACATATATATTGGTCAGGATAGCCCAGACATTATCGCGTGTTAGGCCCCGCATTGCTCCCTGGCTGGCCCAGTGCCCGTTGACTGTGTGCCGCCAGGGAACGGTGCCATCTGCACACGGTGGTTTGTTTGCAGGGAGAGCTCTCAATTTGCAATATCGTGTGAAGACATCAAAAGGCCACGTGAGATTGGGGCATTTATTGCACAGTATTGTTGCTCGGACGGTAACTCTTTTGAGAAGGTAATGCAATTACTTGTGTTTGCCCTTTCTCTTTTCTTATTCATTCCAGAGGCAAGAAATCATGAAGTTGATAAAAGAGATATGTGGTGAGTAAGCCAATTGGTATGGAAAAAAACGTCTCACCCTCGATGGGTGAGGAGCTCATTTTGTCTGCACAATAGTTTCACGTTTTTCTCTTGTGCTGTTCACATCGGCTTTAGTTGCGAGTCGATCACACTGCACTTCAACGCGGCGGTTTGGGGGCAGTGGGCTTGAGTTCAATCCCAGCTACGGCTGGCATCAGTGGCAAGGGGAGCTTGTCCTCCTGTGTCTTTCCTAGTTTGCTACTCAGCCTTAACTGACTTGAGTACCTGGTGCGGTCAGTAAACATGATCAGCTGTGGGGAGAACCGAAGGCTAACGTGCGTGGTTACGACCACACCACACGCTTGCCGTGTTGCCGTGGCAACCTTAAATAACACACCATGGCCCTTTTGTCGACCCACTGCTGGATTAGGGTCTCCACCACACACTCCGTGGGTCACGGTGGGGGTTATCTGACCATACTTCACCAGGCTGGTCAGTGCGGGTTGGTGAAGGCTCCGATTAGCACGGTTGGCTACGTACGGTGCGAAAGAAGTTCAACATGCGTATATACACCAACTTAATATTTGCCCACCCAACTATAAGCACTTGCTCCCTATAGTGTGTGTGTGTCTGTGACTAGACGAGCGAACGGGTGTGTTTCGTGGGCCCGTGTGTGCGCGGCAGGCTGTGGAGTGAAGTGCCGGCAGCGTCCGCTCGAGCTCATGTTTGTGATCGACAGCTCCGAGAGCGTGGGCCCCCACAACTTCCAGATCATCAAGGAGTTTGTGAGCGCGCTCACCGAGAAGCTGCCCATTGGCCGCAACGCCACCCGGGTCAGTAGCAATCCTGCACAGCCTCGCTTGCATCCATGACTCTCTCCCGTAGATCTGGTGGTGGGGGAGTGGTGCGCCCCGTGGACTGAGAGCCTCTGAATCGACATCCCCCCACCCCACCCTCGCTGCTCGTGCGGCCACCGCCAGGTGGGCCTGGTGCTGTACAGCCGGGAGGTGCAGTTGGAGTTCGGGCTGGGCCGGCACGCGAGCGCCGCGGAGGTGCGCCGCGCCGTCACCGCCATGGCCTACCTGGGCGAGGGCACCTACACAGGCACGGCGCTGCAGCGCGCCGTCGCCGAGGGCTTCGCGGGCGCCCGGCACGGCGTGCCCAAGGTGGCCCTGGTGCTGACGGACGGCGAGACGGACCCGCGCGAGCCCTACCCGCTGGGGCAGGCGGTGCGCGGGGCGCAGGCGGCGGCCGTCGAGGTGTACGCCATCGGCATCGTGAACCGCAGCGACCCGGGCCACGCCACCTTCGTCGCGGAGCTCAACCTCATCGCGTCCGACCCGGACGAGGAGCACGTATACCTCATCGACGACTTCAACACGCTGCCAGGTTGCCACGCCGCTCGGGAGCGAGCGGTGCGGAGGCCGGTCGGTTTCAGTTTTTCGGGCGAGGAGCGGGTTTTGGGGGGGTGGAGGACGGTCGGCTCGGACGTTCAGAGCGCTCGGCTGGGTGGCACGCCAACCACAGCGTTGACGGACGCAGGCCACGGCTCGTGCGTTCTGATGCTTGAGAAGCGAGTCTGGCTCTGAGAAAGGGCTTATGTGGATAGTGGGCAGCATGGGGGATAAGGGGTGCAGTGGTGAGCGCACTCCATAATGAACCTGGTGGAGAACGGAGTTTGAATCCCGGCCGTGGCTTACATCAGGGACGAGGACTTAACCCTCCCCCCCTACCACCCCCCGTCCACTACACGGTCACCGTATCGCGTGGCGCTTCCCGATGCGCTTCTGCGGCCGTCTGGAACGCTCTTCCTTCCGATATTAGGAAGCCACTGGAGCTGTACACTGTACGTAGCCAATCGCACGATTAGCGCGGTTGGCTTCGTACAGTGTCAAAAAAAGTTCAACATACAGTACATGCATACAGATTATCTGGTTTGAATCCAGGTTTCATCCACCGGGTCTCTCAATTGCAGTGAGTTGACGGTTTCAGCCAGGTCACCGAAGTCATTGCAGTTAAATCTGGTGCCACGTAAAGTTTGGCTAAATTCCCGCTGTGATAACTACAAATGTTGGGGAAACCGTCAGGTGACCAACTGGTGGGAAAGTACGGCCTCCCTACTGGGTGGCTAATGGGTCACTTGATTGGATCTCGGGGGTATCTGTTTGGTATCCCCTTCAGTGGGCTGTTCTCCAACACCGAATAGAGCCTCCATAGCATCACCGATAGCAGACCCAAGATAGATTTGGGTGGAAAAGGATTGAAATTCCCATTGCAAATCGTTTAGTGTCCATCATTTTCTAGACGTCTCTCTCTCTCTCTCTAACAGCTCAAATTCAAGATCTAAAAATTGCATTCCCAAATTATTAGCAATCTCTCCTTGACAATGATTACTCGGCTGCTGTTGCTGCTGCTGCTGCTGGCAGGCACAGCGAATCTCACTGAATCTCAATGAGGTCCCCTATGGTTAAGCAAAGGAATTCTTCACGCGAACGCGCACGCGCCGCCTGCTTCTCAAGGTCGTGTGTGTGTGTGCGCGTGACTGTGCGTGCCCCAGCACTGGAGATGAAGCTCGTGAGCCAGCTGTGCGAGGATGAGAACGGCACGCCTTTCTCGCCGGCTCCAAAACCTCCCGTGCGTACGCAAGCCCTCCCTGGTGACGCCGCACAATGGCAGGAGCCCGGAGGAGCGCGGGAAACGCATGCAGGTGCGTGTGGGGAGCAGGAGGAAGAGGAAGCCACCATCTTCCCAACACGAGACCCGTGAACCTCTGGGCTGGCGTCTATCCACTTTTTTCTATTTTTGACACAGTTGTTGAACACAGGCCCAAATGGCGGCCAGCAGAAAACGGCGCTCTCGAAGGTGCAGTAGATGAAGGTGGCACTGCGGTGGCGAGATGTTAACTACCTCGCCTGGTATGCGGAAGGCCGTGGGTAAATTTGAAGTTTGCATGCTGTCTCCGTGGTTGTATGGATTTTTCTCCGGGTCCTCCGGTTTTTCCCTCATTTAAAAACACGTGTTTAAAAGAGTATTTGGCTGCTATAAATGTCCACATGATAAGCCACTTCGTTTAGCTATCATTTGTGGCCAGGTTGCTTCTAAAAGAGCTGTGTAACTCAGTGGGCCTTGCTTGGTGAATTAAAAATAGTCAAATAGTTAATGTTTTTTTAATTGAGCAAGGTTATACGAGCTTTGGGATAAGAGGATGAGAGGTGTATTCCCATGTCGAGCTGTGCGCGTGACTTGCAGTGCAGTGAGTGAGTGGGTGTGTTGTTGTGACCTGCAGTGTGGTGGTTGAACATTGTGGATGAGAAGATACGAGTCAGTCTGGTTGACTGACTTGTGGGCGGAGGAATGAATGAGTGGAGTTTGTTGGAACACGAAAAAGAGCGATAGAGGAATGGAGCTGGTTGTCATTCTTATAACGGGGGATTGATATCCATGAGATGTGACAAATAATACCCCCGTTGTTTCATAGTTAGGCTGATATTTTAATTTGTAATTTCAGCAAGTGGGTGGTGGAGCAATGGCACAGTGGTTGGTGTCATGCACTGTGAACACCGCTGATGTTGACCACGGCTAACATCAGTGGCGAGCGATGCCTAAACTGACACACCAATTTGACCGACCGACCACGCTGACCAGCTTGGTGAAGTATGGTCACAGAACCCCCCACAGCGTGGCGAGGTTTTCATCCCACAGCGGATTGGCAAAGGGCGGTAGATTATTATTTATGGTATTTGATGGAAGTGAACAACAATACACAAGTGTAATTGGAGTGAGTCTCGCCTAAACCGAGTACCTGGTGCGGTGTGTAGTAAAAATCGCCACTGAGGAGACAAAGGCGGCCGGGCGTGGTGCTGGCCACCACACGCCCTCCTGTGCCGTGCCGGCCTTCACAGGTGCTTGCTAACAGCACTTGCCCCAACAGTCTGTTAAAGGCTATACGGGGGATCTTTGTCTTTGTTTACAGGATCGAAACGGGGAGCCGGGACACTTTGGCAACACCGTCGAGGCGGTCACGGCCACCTCGTTGCTCGTGACCTCCGTGACCCCGGAGTCCTTCCTGCTGACCCGGCGACCCCCGACCCCGGGTAACATGCAGAGCTGCCGCTCGTGCCGAGGCACGGGGGCGGCGCGCGCACCGCCGGCGGAGCGACGCATTTCACTCGTCATCACCCTCGTCGTAATCGTGGCCACGGGCAATCATCTATCCGCACGCCAGATGAAGGCTTCTCTAACCCGTCATCGCCGTCGTCTCTTGCGGTCTTGCGATGACGACGGCTTAGAGATGCCGTCATCCAGCAGTGGATAGGTCGTAACTCATGATGATGATTAATTTTATATTTTCACCATGTTTATGTTCGAAAAGAAATATAAATCTGCAATTGCTCGTTAGGTCCTGTCTCTCGTGCGTGACGATACATCTAATTTGGTGACTAGTCTGATGAAGTGTCTAAGGAGACGAGAGAGCTGGATATGCAAGGAAATCGAGGGATGAAGAGCCGCGTGCCATTTCCCCCACGTTGACACTCCAACGCACGCTCTGTTCCCGAGCAGGGCCCCCGTGTGAATCGATCGGTGCTGTTGAGCGGAAATCCCCGTTATGAAAGCGCCATTTCACGATCTCTGCCGTGAAGCATCGTCTCACTGTCCAGCCTGACGTGCGGCCCCAACGTAGGGGCTCTCCGTGCCGACAAACGGCGTCGGTCGCGATTGCAAAATGTTTAACTCGGCTGCAGATAAAACGATGGGTTGTTTTTTCCCCCCCCCGCGACTCCAGACCATGCACTCAGGTGCCAGGTTCAGTTGGACCAGGGACCCTGCCGCAATTTCACCTCCCGCTGGTACTACAACGGTGACGCCAACGCCTGCGGGAAGTTCTGGTACGGAGGCTGCAAAGGAAACGACAACAACTTCTTGACGTCCGAAGAGTGCCAAAGGACGTGCATCGGGTCTCATGCCGAAGGTGGGATCCTCGACCAATGCCGCGCACACCCGGGATGACGCTAACGGAGCTTGCCCCAATACCGTGCTCATCTCGTCAAGGAGCATAAACTATCACGCAAACCCCGGTCATCCTCGCAAGAAGCGGCCTTCGGCTAGCCATCGTGCTGGCCACACCATCCCCTCACGTTCTGTGCTGGCCTTCATCGGTGATTGCTATCTGCACTTGCCTCAACAGTCTATTTAGACCATGTGGAGAATCTTTGTGTGAGAGTGTGTGTGCGTGCACTGTGCTACACACCCGCCAGTCTGAGTCAGTTCCCGCTCAGGACTGATAAGCCATGGCACATATTGGAACCAGTCCTGGACCTCCCTGGTGTGGTGTATACACATCAGCACTGGGAAGACAAAGGTGACCAGGCATGGTGTTGGAAACCCACCTCCCTCCTGTGCCGAGGCAGCCTTAATAAGTGCTCACTAAAAGCATATGCCCCCAACATTCTGATGAAGGCTATACGTTCGCATGCATCCATGTACATAGCCTGGCACAAGCATCGTGGCGACATCACCATCAGTGGGTGGCGAATGGTGTCAGGTTGTTGTTGTGCGTCCATGTGCGAGCATGTGCGCGTGTGCGCGCGCGCGTTCATGTGTGTATTTTTGATGTCTGCGTAAAAGGCGGTAAACATTAGACGTGACAGAATCTATCGCGCGCGGGCATGGGGGGAGAGCATCCCTTGATTGATCGCGCCTCTGTGTTCGTGTAATTCCAGGGTTGGGGCCAGATGGACGGTGAATCTCAAGCAGCAATCACGGAGCCCGTGCCCCCCCCCCGCCCGCCCCCCACAGGGGAGGAGAGCGAGGCAGTGAGGCGCCGGCCGTGTCAACATCTCCCCACAACCGGCCCTCGCGTTAAACCGAGCTCGTAATTTCTGGATGTCGACGAAAAGATTTGCGAAGCACGAGAGAGCACTCAGGTTTCGTCTCAACGACCACAACCGTTCGTGTCACTTTTCGAAACGCCGCACATGCTTTTTGCGCGTGTGCGGGTTTTTATGGAGTGGGGGGAGGGGGGTTTACATGAAAACTAAAAATAACAATCCTGTGTTTCATTATCCACCAGAGGACTATATAGTTTATATTGGATCGTAAAATGGGCATTATTGTCCTTGCTCAGTCGATGCAAATATTAATTGCGTAAAGGCACTAAAGCAGTATTTAACCACGTAATAATATCTCCCGGCCTCGAAACAGAATGATTACAGCTATCGCGCAGAATTCTGCAATGGGTGCTCAATGCTGTGATTTCAGTTTGAGGTCTTGTGTAATCTTGCGGAAGCTTTCGAAGGTTCCCCTCCCGTAACCTCCTCTGTACGCTCTGCACATTTCTCAGGATGCCACCGGTATTTTGGCCATTGTCTTAACGTGCAAAAATTCGATGCCTCTACAGTGTTTGGGGAAAACTGTACAATGCAGCAGGCCATTGGAAAATGTATGAAATCCTCTTGGTTGTTGTGTTTTTTTTAATTGTTGTTGAATTCTGGGATGATTTTTGGCAGGGGTTACTCTTTATTTTTTTTATGATGATGATGATGAAGAGGGGGGGGGGCGGATGTTCAGTGTAGTGTGAGAGTGTGTGCCCAAACGGTTTCAGATAAGCCATTGATACATTGCCCAGAATTAATCACATGTACTGTTAATATTATTACAAAGGCTGCGTTAAAGCAATAATTGCATAACAAAGAGTGACGATGATACAAGCTGTAAGAGATTACGTGATTGTTAAGGAGGGCTACATTTGTGCAATGTCGCCCTCTGTAGACTGTGGGGCTACGCTGTGGACAGCAGAGGGTAGTGCTGCAACATCCATTGTTGTACCATACCTCTATGGTCCCCAACATCTATGCCCCCTGCCTTCAACCTGCACTAACCAAATTGGTACAGGCCCCCATCCAGCAGTGGATTGACAAATAAGGCTGCTGTACGTGAACTGTTTAGGGTTTTTGTTCCATTGGGTTTTGTATTTTGACATTATAAGGCCTAAGGACTGATTAAACATCTTGAGCCAACAGAAACCTCCCAAAATTAACGCTCATATTGCGTTAGTGTCCGACAACAGTGTGGTGGGAGCCGATTCTAGAGAACTCAATACAATTAGTGAGAAGACATTTGATTTCAAAGCGTCCACACGTCTCCCACCAATCGGAACACACTTAAAAAGGCCTTTAACATTCCCCCAATACACTCTGTCCATCATAGACAGTGTGATCTACTTACAATTTTGATATATTGCGGTTTTATCACGTTAAGGCCGGCGAATACAGGGGCCACCACGCTAATTGTTCCGCCTTTGTCAATCCATCAATTGCTGGAATTATTTCGAAACTGAAACTTCACCATTTTTTTTTATTTTACCATTTCAGGTCCACTGAGTTATATAGCTCTTATTCAGAAGTGACCTGGCCACAAATGATAGCTCAACGAAGTGGCTTATAACATGACAATGTATTGCAGCCAAATACTCTAAATGCATGTTGATTCTAAACTTGGAGGGAAAAACCAGAGGACCCGGAAAAAAAATCCACGCGACCACAGGGAGAGACCATGCAAATTCCAAATATACAACAGGCGTCGGGGTCGGGATCGAACCCATGCCCTCCTGCATACCGGGCGAGGTAGTTAACATCCCGTGGTACCCCACGGTGGCGAGATGTCACCGAGGCCCTGTCCTGCGACTGAATTCTGGAGAGTATTTCCCTGCCTCCCTACCCTCACTCACTACCGTTGAGGGCAGTGGGAAGGATTGTGGGAGGGGGCGGGGGGTCTGAGGATCTGGGAGTTGAGGGGGGGCAGGCTCAGAAAATATCCTATCTAAAAACTAGGCCCCGCCAACACACACGTCTCTTGTAACCAATCATGTTCTGCACCAGACCAGGGTCATAGAAGTCAATGGGATATCTAAAATTGGATCACCCCCTACTACCAACAGCAATCAGCGAGAACATGCTCAATAACAATGCACGTGGCTGCATGCCGGCTTGTATGTATGTTGAACTTCGTTCGCACCGTACGGAGCGAACCATAATAAAGGTTCACTCATGCAAAGTTGAAAGCCATTTACATTGATTTGGCTTTTCGCCGGGCTGTGTGATCACAAGTTCCTACTCGGATCGTTAAGAGTTGTACCAATGTGAACAAAATGTGTTCCATATGTATTGCTATTACACGCACCATAAGTCATGTACAATACTCTTTGATGTGTGTGATAAATAAATAAAGGATGTACACACGTTAACAATTTAAAGGCCTGTTTTGCACGTGCCAATGTGCATGAAATACCGTAGCAAGGATCGTCACGCATCTAGTAACTTTGGCATCTGTTGGACAGGTATTTTCCTCTTTACATTTAACTTTCGTTTAAAATATAGCACGTAAAACAGAACAATAGAGGAACGCATTTTTTCCAAAAAATTCAGTAAATAAATTTTGGCAAAAAAGAACCCAAAGTATAGCACTTGATAATTCCTTGAAAAAATAGTGAAAAATTCCAGACAGTATAGTTAATGCCCCGCTTTACGTCGGGGATGCGTTCATGAAATGTGCGCCGAATATCGAAACGGCGTGTGTTTTGGCTATCCCAGTGTTCTTCATTGCAAGGCCCACGGAGCCACTTGCAGCCCCTGACGTGTGGCCCCTGATCATACACACGTGAATACACCCCTTCACGCTGTCAAACCCAACGAGTTCAAATGTGTGGCGGCTCTCATACCGATGTCTAATCGGCAAAAGTATCCCTCCTTTGAAAATGAGTGCAGAACGCTGCTCTACCTGGTTTTACCCGAGGCCTGTTTTTTGGAACTACGGGGGTGATGTTTCGGCTTTTGGCGGTCTGCCGCTGTTCATACTCTCATCTCCGTGTCAAAAAGTAGAGCCGTGAGAGTGCTGTATCCGTTGGACGGTGTGAATGAATCGTCTGTGGGAACAGTGTATTTAGGGGCCATCCATTTAGTACGTACGCATGGAGGGGGGAGGGGTGGTTAACCCAAATGCGTACGCCTGCATATGGGGGGTCTGACAATGTACGTACACATAGGAAACGGGGTGGGCGGGGGGGGGTGAAGCCTCGATAATAATTTGTCTACATTGGCCTTCAAATGAGCCACAGTTCAGTTTCTTCAGCTGTCAGACAAGTACTGCCGGGAGAGGTGGGACTGTGGGAGAGGTGTCACTTCGTATGTCACCGTGCCCCTGACTGCAGCTATCACGCAGCTCGGAAAAATAAGTGGCCAAGGTACACAACTTAATTTTGTAATGCAGCCGGCGGTGGACTATCTGCTTGCTTAAACACGTTAATATTATTCATCCTTGATCGTTTCTGCGTGGATTAAATATCGTCCGTTCTATAGGATTCGGGGGGGGGGGGGGGAGTGTAAAAAGTACGCGTGCGTACAGGGAGGGGGGGGGTCAGGTTGACGGATTTTTGCGTCCCTACTAAATGTATGGCCCCATAATCGCTTATGTTTTTAGCCATGTCGTTTTGTGTGATAATGTAACAATCAAAAGGCACACTAAACATACTGTACTCAAAACTAGTGTACAGCACTAAACTTTAACACAAATGATACAGGTCACAATACGATATCGTACACAATAAAATCACCAAATTACTGAACATAAATAATATATTGGACTCCACAGTACATTTCTATGAGCGACGAAAAGTGATATTACAGGGAAGATGATGGCTGAAGCGGCAGGGATACGAGAAAGGGCGGATGATGCCGCCAGCTCCGTGTGGGTTGAGGTGACGCAAATCAATTAGTGGACTTAATAAATTGACGACGGATTCGCGAAACGCCGTTAAAGGGGTTGAGACATAAATCGGGTTATTAATATATTTAGCATACTCAGCCTAATCACAATCAAGGGTTTAATGCCTCTTTTGATGGCCGATGATAAAACTGGATCATACTCTGCAGTAAATTTGGGTTGGTCTAGCAAACGGCAGCAGTTTCTTGGATCTAATACATATAGCACCGAGGTAGTCAATGGCTCTGGGGGGGTGAATACCGTGTCAGCGCACTGAGCTGGCACTAATGTGGTCATTGGTTCAAATCTGGGATTCAGCCACCCACGAGCACACCAGGTTCTCAAGCGGAGTGAATTGATGGGTCTCAGTCTGGTCACCAATGACTGACAAACATGGTTGACATCGCACGAGTTTTTAAAGATAAACATTACGATATCGGGGTACGCGAGTAGGTGCACCACCACATGTGGATAAGAAACAAATGGATGGATCTGAATGGTGTGCGGTCATCTTCGGGAGCCTGTTCTATCGCCACGGGGTGATGGTTACACCACTTTCTGCGAGAGTTCCAAACCGTAAAGGTCTTCGTCTCATAGCATGCAACTGGGGAAAGGCCAAAACAAATTCTGGGTCCCGACGTTAACGCGATTGCCAAGCGTTATTACATCCTCCTGGATTTAGTGTTCCGATAAAATTCAACCACTGCCCACCATGGAGGTCACAGGCCTATCAGGTCTTCCACAGGGACCTGCGAAATTGATCACATTGTACGCACCACTTGTAAACTGCATCGTCTCTGGAGATCGCGGCGACGCAAGTCGCATTCACCTTGCAGAGGGACATTCACATCTAGGTGTATGCACACACGCGCGTGCCGATGACAAAAGTGCGGCGAGCAAAACAGCCTGAAACAAAAGTTCTTTAATAATATCAACAACATACACCGATTAAATTGATCCATTTGATTGTGCGCAAAATAAAGCCGAACTTCCCGCTCCAACCGTGTCTCTCGCCACTGGGCGAGATAAGTCTGTCCGCGTCGCACAATCGCTCTTTACAGCCGTACCTTTTTTTATTACAGTAATGACTCCCGACACACTAGAACAGCAATCGTCGCGAGGTACGAACGCTTCCCCCGTGGAATCGCATTATCGTTCTGCAGACGCGTCGTAAAGCGCAAAGGGAGGACTGGGCAATGGGGTAGACACAAATGGGATGCCGGGTTCCTAGAATGAGCAAATGATACATGTCCACCATGAAAAGACGCACACCCAACAGAATGGGCTTCTCTTGAGAGGTTTCGCTCTACGTCTCAAACTCTGCGTGCAACAGGCGACGCTAAAGCAGCACAAGGGCAACTGCAGCTGCACAAAACAACGGCTTCCATACTCGAGAGGCATTTCGAAAGTGTTTCACCATACACCTGCCTTCCGTTACCTGTCACCAGTCACCTCGGCGCGGGGATTTAGATGTGAACAGGTGGACACGTGTCGCAATACCCATTGTTACCAACTTCGCGATTGTGGCTCGATTCATCTGATTTTTTTTGGTTTCCCTAGCAAGACAATTGTCAAGGCAACGATAGCGACAAAACTATGGACTTGTTGGGATGAGGATACTATTCCAGGTCTGTATTAAAGATCTTGTATCAGTTTACGATGCTTAATACTTGGTAAAGTGTGTTATTTTGTCTTTGACTTGAGAAATCGACCTCGGGACTTTAGAGGGTTGGTTTGGTGACTTTCCACTTAAAGGAAATGGCAACACAGGCAACACTATGCCCACACGAAACGTTTGTTATAAATGTTATCACATTATGCAGGCTGGGTCCCATCAAATGTTATTCAAATTAAGCATATGTTGTGTAAAACGTTATGCTCCCATACACTTATATGTTAATACAAACGTATCGTTTTACAGCCAACTTTTTTCAATACACGACGACTGTTTTCAACAGCCCAAAGGATGAATATTCCATCTACCGTACGAGAAAAAAGGTCAACTTCTGTGCATAATAATTGACGGGGGGATAAACATATCCACAGCTGTTTGTGGAATTTGTATTAAAATATTTTAATCTCGCTCGTTCGCTTTTGAGCATTGTTCAGCGTTTAGTTGACGGACCGAGCCTAAAACTGCAGTAATCAAGGCTTTTAAGCCACTGTAATAAATTCACTGAAGACCAATGCGCAGAGCTTGAGCGGCCATGAAATTACGCGCCGTTTTGCGATTCTCGGCGCAATGCCAACATTGTGCAAGTCAAGAAATTACAACCGTGGCAGAAGCCGGCTAGCCACGGCATGACTGGGCGTTGCTTTGTCGCTAAGCAGAATTTGCAACGGGTTCTCGAAACTGCTTACACTACACCAGGGGTGAACAACATGCGGTCCTCCCCCACGAGGCCAGGGCTTAAATTTCCGACGGAATAGTTTCCGGGTCGCTGGTAGACTTAAGGTGACACGTGGGCTGGTCGCCACGGCCCTAGTGAGAGGGATACTTAGATGTGGTGTGCCGCGTGTGGATATACTTTTCAGGTTGCCAGCCCAGACCCTGCTGAATGTAAGCCCTGCGTGCAATACTTTCAGTTGTGCATCCCTGCTTTACATGATGTCCACTGTAACATTTGTAAACGTCAAAGATCAGCAAATACAACTTTGTATCTCTATTGAACACTCATGTTACATTCCATTGTATAGCTTATTCACGATTAGATTTGTCATTTTCAGACATCCAGATCTAGAATACAATGCCTTCTCTTAAGTCTTATCAGCAATAAATACTTTTAAAAACATTCTTAACATACTATCTTGCAAGATGGAATGCTTCTCCTTCTGACAAAATATGGCCAGTGTACAGCAAAACACCTCTCTGAAACCCAGTGTGTATAAAGTTTGATTTATTGCTAATAAATAATCACACTATTTAAGTTCATTTCGTACACACTACGTAGGTGATTGAAATAGGCATTAATATGTTGACAATTAATTTACGTGTCTGGAATTGATGCCTTAAAAAACAATGGTAAAGGCAAAACCTGCTTGTTTTTACGTTGCATTTAAAAAAAAAATCCATCACATGAATCACACTTCCTGCCACCTTTATACTGAATATTTCATTGCCCAACTACACACCCTGTGATATAGCCACTTCATGCATTTTGCGATGAGCACTCGGATAATTACAAGAGTAAACCAGCTCGGGCGGAATGCATCTACTGCGAAAAAAATCACAAATAACCTACACCTGACGAACACTCCCACGACATACCACAGCAGTGCTATGCAAGCAACACATGGATAGCCGGCAACAGTAGGGCGAGAGGAAAGAGCAGGGCAAATGCAAATGAGGGAAGGGGGGGGGAAGTCTCAGGCATACACACAAACACTGGTACACTGCTAATTTTTCTTCATTTAAAAATAAACACTGGGCACCACTTTAAATAAAGCGTGGCACAAAGAGGATAAGGGGGGGGGGGGGGGAGGAGGAGGAGGACGTGAACCACTTGCACCGTGGGCCTGAGCAGAGGGCATTGAGAGCAGGACCGAAGAGAGGGGAGGTGGGGGGGTGCAGGACCGTAATGGAGTGGAGGAGGGACAGCTGGTTTGGTTGTCAGGCGGTTGTGTGGAGCCCCAGTCCGGGACCATGCGAGGCCGCTGCTCGCGCCGCCGCCGGCGTCTCAGTGCTCGTAGGCTCGCGCGGTCGCTCCCGCGAGCAGGTGGCCGTTGGTGCCGTTTGCGCTGCCCGCGCCGTTGCCCGCGCCGTTGCCCGTCCCGCGCGCCGTGCCTTTGGCCCGGTCGCCCGTTCGCTCGTCGTCGTCTGAGCTGCTCTCGATGTCGCTGCGGTCGTCCTTGGATACCTGCGAGAGCCGCAGTCGACACGACGACGAGGGGTGTTGGCAACGAGGGCCCAGGTAGTCCCGGCGAAGGGTGTGGTCAGAGTATAAGGGAGGGGGTAAACGTGTGGAGTGTAAGGGACTACACGTGACGTCTGTGGGTATACCGTACGTGGAATACATCAGGGGGTATACGCGTGAAAGCGAAATGGGTGAACAGTGGGAATAAGAGTCGTGAATAAAAACATTGCGTGCAAAGATTCAATCAGAGGTTTAGTGTCAAAATCAAGTGCCCTGGTTTTTTAAAGTGATATAAGCGTACACCTAGTGAAAGCGTGCTAGAGCTGTTAGCATGCACACCA